AGCTGCTTAACAAAAATACCTTCCCTGGGCTCAGGCAATGGCAGAGTCTGTGAAGAAACCCACCTGCTGAAGATGACCCCTCTGAAGGCAGCTCCTCTTCATTTTAAAATTCCTCCCCTCAGCACGCCCCTACCCCAGGCCAGCCAGGCGCTGCAGCCAGCCCCTCTGCAGCACCCAGGGTGGCCGCCATCACTTCTTCCATGTTTCCCCTCCACGACTGTCAGCAGAAAAGCCTCTCGGGGCGGGGGGAAAGCGGGCGAACTGCTCTGCAGCCTCCCCGCCGGCCCTCAGCCACCACGGGACACGGCGCTGGGGCCCTGGCAGGCGCTGGTGGCTGAGCTACGGCTGCGGCTCTGCTTGTGGGGCTCCCCGTGTACCTGGGGAAGAACGTTTTCATCAGCCAGGATGCTTTTGAGAGCAACCTCTCAAAAAAACTTGAGGACAGGGAAGCCATTGTCAGCACCATCACCTTCACGCCCAAGGACAGAGTCTCGGTGGTGGTCATGGCTGGGTCTACATGTATTTCAAGAGCCTCAAGAGGTGGGTCCCATCTATGGGAGTCACGTCCCCCGTGTCTGAGCTCTCAAACAACCATTGCTGCTACGTAGGTGCAGACCCCGGAGCTCAGATGGACCGTTTTTGTTTACAACACCAGGCACTCCGTCTCTGACGGCCACATCTTCCTTTCGCAGGATGGGCGTTACACGTTTACACACGTTGAGATCAGTACAAGAGAGCAGGGGGTGCCGGTTCGGGGCCTACAATTTCATTTTCTTTGCCGTGACTGGCCTGGTGATCAACAGAAGTGGAGAGAAAGGGGCAGGGAAGGCAGCAAGGGCCTATTTTGGATACAGTGGTACTGAAAACAGCCATACATTCGACCATAACTCTACCACATTCCACCTTCCCAGAGGCCCTGCTAAACTTTGGAGTATCCAGAATCTTGCCTTGAGGAATTTCATCATCCTCTGGACAACAGACAGTTTGCTTGTATCTGCCAACAAGGGCTTGACCACAGAAGTGACTGTTGTGCCCTCAGAGACCTTTCAAAGCTCTGCCTTCCCTGACAGTGGTTTCTTACATGTGCCTGCTAGCAGCTCCCAGATTGAAGTCTTGTCCCGCGACAGAAGCTATGGCTTCGGCCAGGTCACTAGCGTGGTTCACATTGCCAAGGATAAGAGCAGAGATTTGGAGAACACAGGGATGCTGTTTGAAGAAAGAGGGTGGCTGAGCTTACTCAGCCCTGCGATTAGCAATTTCACTCAGCTGTATGACTTCAGTAAATGCAAGCTCAGCTTGCAATTAGCAGTCTGGAGATCTCCACAGTCCTGCACTGTGGAGATCCTCATGGGAGACTTCCAGAACAAGATCTATATTACATTGACAGGCACGAATGTCTGACTTTGAAGGCCATATTCATGCCCACAACAGGCGAAAGGTCCACTCCCTTGGTGAACAGTGAGTAACACCCACGTGCAGGCTTTCAGTGCATATGTAATAGAAGGGGGTTTTACATACCTCTTGTGTATCATTCTGGAGCAGCAGTATTTCTCTGAATTTGCAGACACTGACTTCCGTGATGGCAATACGTGATGGAGAAATGTCTACTGTCGCTGTGGACATCCCCAGCAACCCAACTGGCTGTATTGATGTGGCTCCCCTGACTGCACTTGTTGCAGTGTCCTGTCCACCTACAAAGTCCATCAGAACTGTAAAAACATTTAACAGCCTGTGACAAAGGCCTCATTCAGGAATCAGCACTGAGAAATAATTTCAGTTATACAGTCAGACATGACATATACAACTTGCACCTTCTTACCAGAAAAGATAAACAGCAGGACAAACTACAGATTAAATACAACATTACACATCTGGGAGGTCCTCTTCTGGTATATTATAGAAATCCTTGGTTGCCAGTTTTTGAGTTATGGGAAAACAATAGATTTTAGGAGCATGTTCCTGCTGAATTCATTCTGTTTGAAATAAATGGAATACATAACCACGATTAACTTTTGACTGTGCATGTTGCCAACTGCATCTCTTAATCTCAAAATTGGACTTCTTTGCTAGAGGAGCAGGAGTCTCCAGATCCACATACTTCATGGACCAGAAGAAACTACATGAGCTGTAAGGATAGATAGGAATGAAACTGAATTAAAATGGCCCTTGGTCAAGTATCAGGTTCTTGATGGAGATAAAAATAAGATCGTTTTTCTTCCCTATAATGGTCTATATATCTATAAAGCCATTATAGTCGACACATTTTACAGTTATTGTGATTTATCCATAGCCTTCTCAGTATGTCTGTGGTGCTTTTCCCAGGAAATACCTATATTTTGGGGCATCACTTACACTCTTTCTGATTTTACTTTTGATTTTTACAAGATAATTCCTATTGCATTTATCACTCTAAAAAGTGAGATGCAAAAGTTATAGTATTTTGAGCGGAATATTTGAAAGTATCTGGGAAATCTAACTAGAGAAGTTCCCTTTTATTTAGGAAAATTTCGTTGTTATGAAAATGTGATGGAGAAACTAGAAAACTAGATCATTGTCCTTTTTGTAGTTAGAAAGTTAAAGTTTTATTATTTTGAATTCCAAAAAGATCATTTTACATTTTTTTTTTCCTCATTCTAAATTTTTCACTGACCCTATGCAGCTAGTCCTACTTGTTTCACTGTAGAGATAGTTTAAAAGTCTTTTCAGTACAAGTGCATGATTTCAGAAACAAAGCAGCTTTTAAATTTAATTTCAGGAAACAGTTTTTAAATTAAGTGGACTTCAGGGGATTTCTTAGCAATTAGTATCAATCCAGAATGTGTGACAAAGACCAATTATCTCCAAACTTCCAAACTTTAAGTTGTAACCAGCTCCTAGAGAGAGCATAACTTTTCACTCATGCTGAGTATCAGGAGAATATTACCTGTCTTAATAACTGTACCATGAAAGTCCAGCATTCTGTAGAATTCTAAATCCACTGTATGGATGGACTTCTGGTCCTCTTGTTTCAAGAAAGCAGCAGTTGAGTTCATTCCCTTGGTAATCACTCTGCCTAAAGGCACCACCCGGACATCCTTATTTTTCATTACGGCAAAGGGCCTCAGTTTTCACTTGGAAAGCTCTGTCCAACTCTGATCCTCTCTTCCTCCTTCCCCTAGTTCTCTTTCGTAAGACATATTCAGCCTGTTCCCTCTGAACGCTTTCTGCATTCCCTCTTTAACTCCTCGTGACAGGCAGCTTCCCCAGCACCCTTGTCAGATCGTGTCATACATGACTCTGAAAGCAATTTAAGCTGAATTTTTGTACCATTTAGGCACCCATTCACTTCCATGACCTCCAGGTGGCATTATTCACTAATATTCTTAAGCAGATTTAACTGTAAGTACTTTGGAGATGTGACAGTTCATAAGCAGAACACCACTAGATACTGCCCCAAGTCACACATACTAATGATTGCATGCATTCTGTAAGCAAACTACAAATATATGGAGTATTAGTCATCCTGCTTCAAGGTGAACATGAAAACTAAACCAGGAAGATTAATTTTGCTCTTTTATAGGAGAGAGTTAGAACTGGCTGGCTAAATTACTAAAAAAAAGTGAAAGAATAGCATGTAAATAAAAAATTAAGCTGCCATACTATGAATGTAATTTGTTCATATATGCAACAGATTCAAATATTAGAATTCATTCTCAAACTTAAGTGATGTAAAGTGTAGAAGTCAGCAGCTGCATGGATTAATTCGCAAAGTATGCCTTAATAAATATTGCATGCTTTCTACATCGTATTTACAGCCTACTGGTTACTATAACACCTTCTTACTCCATTTTTGCATTGCACAAAACAGTCAGCTGCCAAAACAGCATTTCACTAATTTTTGGCAAAGCAGCCTAGAACCATCTGAACTCCCATAATGCAGGATGGAGTAGCGCATGCCCTTATGTATGAAATTGATGGCAGAAGTCACCTTATTTAAGGAGCATTTTTGTTGGTGACATGGCTCAAATAAAAAACCTTTTTTAAAGTTCACTGATGTACGAAATTATTTATGTGTTTTATGCAATACGAGACTAAATAATTTCCAAATTCCCCACCATGCCCAGAACATAAGTGGGCATTTTGCTTTTCAATGAAAAGCCCAGCTTGGCAAGTTTCATGGGTTTATGTTACAGAAGTAGTAAAAAACACAAATTCATTGGATTCCCGAAAACAACATCCCCTGGATCTAGTAATTTTTGAGGGCTTTTTCTAGCTATCTTGAAGGAAGATGTGATATTTTGGTCTACTTTGAGGTGTAGCATTGCTGTCACAGACATAGTAGGAAGCTCTTGCACCTTACAGCAGGTTCACAGGATTCTTCTGAGGGAGCATTGTTCTGTGAGTAGCAGAGTTTCAGCCTTTGTTGAGAGACTTATTTGCTCAATAGCAAGACCAGATCATTTTCATTTCAATACAATTGTTTTTCATTATCTCTGTGGGTCCAACACATGGGCACAGTTTTCCATGTGAGAATTCATCTGAAGGAAGATACACTGTTTTGATTGTCAGTGTTGTCCTGTGAAGAAATTGCCTTCAACCACAAGATACAGCAGAGCATCTGAAGTCTCAGGATTCTTTAGGTGCTCAATTTCCCTCAGCCAACCCATCATAAATCATAATTCTAACTCCTAGCTTCTTTTGCTGCACTGCATTGCTTCACACAGTCTTCCCTACACTCAACACCTATTACTCAAATAAAAAAATCCCAGTATCAAGTAACTGAGACTTCCTAGACAGCTGAATTCTGGGACTTGTACCTGGGAACGGTGGGTAAGAACGCAAAAGGCAAATACAGCAGCCACTACAAGTTTCAGTGTACGCCAACACTACAAGTGGCAATAGGACAGGAACTTCACCTTGAGCAAAGACGGCCAGAATGAAGACAGTACAGAATATACATACAGTATCAGCACCTGCAGATTGCTACAGCTCTATAAAAAGAAAAAAAGACCACAAGTCCATACAGTGAATATGGTGTATGTTTTATTCTATTTACAGTACATTTGTTATAAATATAATACATTTCTTGAAAATCTTGAGTAGATTTTTTTTTTTTTAAAACTGATCAATTGTTATAGTTACATAATAAAGCAAGTGACAATTCAAATGACAATCTCATGGTTGTGAAATAGTGCATTCTGTGTTGAGATGAATGAGAAAATACTCAAACTGGTTGAAGAAATTATTTCTGAAACACCTTAGGTGGGACTTGTATGTAAACCTTGAAAGGTCACCAGTTTCCATAGACATGAAAACTCAAAACAAAATTTTAAACTAAAGAACTGAGGAACAGAAATGGATTTGAGACACCTTATTGAACTTCACAGTAAGATTGGGATTTATCATGTCTAATGGCTTCAGACAGGAAAAAGCCAATGAGGGTTTCTTCCTGAACCATATCCTATTACAGCCACAAATATTAACACACCATGCTGGAACTTGTAACAGCAGTCAAGCCGCATTTTTGACAGGGCATAGGACATACAAATATGTTCAGATTTGGAGTTAAAGAGTATTTTGTGTTATGAATATCTTAATTACCAGAGAAGAAATACATTATAAAAGGATAAACGTGTTTTCAGTCCAACGTGCGTTGCATTGAGAAACAGATTGACAAGTAGTCTGAATATTTTGCTATTTTTTTTTCCTACACAATCTTTAGTAACAAGTTAGATGTTTGAGGTGCTATTTCCAAAAACTGCAGCAAAATGTCAACCAGCAATAAGAAAAGAATCCCATTTATTTTGTCTTTTAGTGTGATTTTTTTCTGGAAGTGGTCAGATATTATTGATAATAATCAGTGCAGGCATGGAGTTCTGCTGACTTGTTTCAAACAAAGTAACTTGGTCCACTAGCTTGGCAAATACCCTGGGGGTTCCAAGATTATAGACACCTGTATGAACGAAGCAAGCTTTCAACTGCAAGCTATAGACCTCTTGGCTTTTAAGTTGAAGCTTGTACTGTGTTTGCCCAAGCCACGTAAAAGATCCATGGATTTCTAGTGCTTCTGGGCTGAAAAAGAAGGTAACAGTTATTTCTCTGTATTTGAAACATACATACCAGTTTGTTTGACTCCCTCAGCCTCAAGTTTTCCCAAGATTTCAGAATGCATTGTGTGTCTGTCACTGGCCCTTTACAAAGAGATACTTGCTTATGCTTTCTGAAAACCTCTTTCCAAAAGCCATGAATTGGAAACTTAAGTTACAATTCTGGCAGTCTTTGGATGAGATACTGCCCACTGTCAGTCATCTTTGATGATTTGGAAGTTGCTGAGTCTTTTTTACTGCCTGCCTGCATTAATTTCCTTTAAGTCGCTGCCTTCCCCAAATGCATCATGCTCGCTTTGTTTCGCACACCACCACCCTTATCTTTAAGAGATTAAGGTAAGACAAAACTAGACTTTGGAAGGACAACATTTGCAATCACAGGTATAGACAGAACTGCGCTTAACATTTGACCAAGATGCTAAATGCAGCTTCAAAAAAAGGTCATGTCTGTAAATCCTTTTTCCTACTACATCTATGTTCACAAACACACACATCCCACCATCCCTCACACACCAAAACACAGTACCTAAGGTCCCCTTGGGTATCTTTATGGATCCCGATGCCCACCCATCAGCTCAATTTAACTCCAGGTCCTTAATTCCTGACAAACACTTTTTAGTGTTTTGGCTCACACTTAAACACACTCCTTTACAGTGGCCCTCCCCCTTGGCTTCGATGGACTAGCATCAAGCTTTAAAACTTTTCTTTGATCCCTAATATACTGTACACTACAGAACATTAATTATACATATATGTATAATGATGAATTCCAGAGTATTCCAAGATTTTTGTATAACCAACACGTAACACTAACAATACACATAGTACCAAGATGCAAATTGTCACAGTTTTTGGAATCCTTACATAAGGTATTCTTGGGCCTGACCCAAGAACTAGAGTTAAATCAGAGTGCATGTCACAGAAATAGTCAACATGAGTATACACTGCTTTAGAGACATTTCATTAATATGTTGGTTTGGGGGCGGGAGGTGCGTTTGGTTTGATGTTTGTTTTTAGGAAGTTTCAAGGCACATGACTGCACTGTCCTTTCAGAGACATGTGTTACAAGACTGTTATAAAACATGATCGTCTTGTGAAAACGCACCAGATCAGTGAATTGCTTCATAATCTTAACTGATAAATAAAACAGACTTAAATTTTCTATCCTCTATTTCTAAACCTGTGTATTAGGCCCTGGGTTTTTAGTTTCTTACTTGCCTACACAGACTGTTGGCAAGCAGCAAAGGTTCCCCATGACTAAGCCTACCTCAATGTCTTCACAATCTGCCTTAACCCCTGCCAAGGATATTCAGCCAGGGATCCCACAAAGTCTATCTTGTGGTAAGCAGATCAAGTAGCACCATGACTACTGGGAGGGTGGGGGGGCAGGAGGGGGTGGTATTACCCAAGTTATGAGTTAAATTGCCCTGTTTTAACAGAAGTGGAATAATTAACAATGGTATGTCATGGTACTGAATTCTTTCTTCCACAGAATTCTTAGTAAAACTTTTAGAAACAATTCACAAAATGTTTCCTCAGTGCTAATATTTTATTACATAATACTACAGTTCTGAGCAAAAAGCCAACCATAAGAATCAGCTGATAAACCTAGGGAAGTCTTAAGAATACCTAAGGTTCTATGACACTTTATACTAAACCAAATTGCAGGAGGAAGTACTTGTTTAAGCTTCAAAAGTCGTTTTCTACAAATTACTTGACATTTTAAAAATGAAACCCCAACAACGTATCTTTAATAAAGTAAGGTTGCTGAAGCTCATACTTTGCTAGTTCAAAAGCATTTCCACTTTTCCAGGAAAGATCTGCAGTTTAACTATTCAACAGTCACAATTCAAGGTCCTGCCTGAGCAATAGTCAAAAGCAAAGTAAAATCGAGCACTGATTGAAGACTCTTGTTTGACTGTATGAAGCCTTTGTCACCTTTCATTCGTTCAAAGAAGCCACTGTTGAAAAAAAAAATCTTATTCCGGATATTCAATACAGTCAAAACATTACAAGACTCACAAAAACCAGGAAGCACTCAGAAATTATTGTTTTATTAACATTTACACATTACCTTGTTGTTTTATGCCGCAAATCAATCATTACATCTACAACAGCCTGGGAACAATTGGAAAGTAGGAGAGTGACAGGTACCAGACAGAGGCTGTGAAGAGAAATAGTTCCACAGTAATGGAAAAAAGTCTTACTCTGGATAGTCTTAATTATACTCTCTAAAAGTTAAAATAAATTTCAAGTAATATAAAGTTAACATGTAATTATTATACAACAGTAAAACAGTATACATAGCAATCACTTACATTGACTAGAGTTTCTTATAATAAAAGCAATTGAGGCAAAACAGCATTGGTTCAATTGAGACAAATGAAGTTACCACCTTCCTTCACCCAGCTGAGGAAGACTAGCAAAATCATAAATAACTTAGTTTACAGGAAATCTACTGTTATGACAAGACATATTTCAGAATGAGATAACAAGGTCTAGTATGCTACTCTCTGAACTGCTGTTTAGCATCTATTTTCTAGATCCTTTTCTTCTGCACTTTCTGCTGTAGAGGAATTGCTGTTATCTGGCCTGAACTTTAAACAGAACAGTGCCCAAATGGAACAGACAGCACATACACATTAGGTGTTAATTTAAGCCTTTACCCTGAATACTGATACAGTTAGTTGATATTCTGCTTGTTCATAATTACTATGATTGTTTTTATAAATAGTCTGCAACAAGGCAGACCTAGATATTCACAGGCAGGTACACAAACTACTGCAGCTGAACCAGCTCTATGTATGCAACAAGTAATTTGTGTCACTGGAATTCCTTGCCATGGCTTAACAGTTTAAATATCCTAAACTTGCCTAACAAGAAAAGAACAATTAGCAACTATAACGAATAAGATATGAACTTGTTACTGGAATAACGCATGCTTTGTAACTGTCATTAAAATATGCGACCTTATAAAACGTTTAAATGTTAGATTTTATAAAGAAAGAAATCCCTTTCCTTCAGCAACTTTTATTAACTGAAATTTTAGAAAAAAGTATAACACCGTAGAGTTCTAGGATAAAACAATTCAAGCCTAAATAGGTATCTTTATGTTTCAAGTATAATTAATTTTATACCGAGAAAGGAATCCAGAGGGCTTTTTCAAAATGAAAGTGATCTGAACAGACTCATGGATTTTAGAGGCTCCAACTAATTCACTCTAGCAGTCTGCTTTTTGACAGAGGTTAGTTCTGATATTCTTCCAGGAGACATGTCCCAGTGAGCTAAACTGTTACCATCTTTCCTTTTGAAATAAATCAGAACCATGTGCAGTTAATCTTGGCAAGTCAGATGCTGCAGACACAGCAGCTCTTTTGACTTAAAGTACCCCTTTCGTTCTGTCTAGCTCCTCAAAGTAGTTACACTGTTTACTCTGACACCAAAGATAAACACAAAGGCAGCAGAGCATTTTTCTTTCAGTAAATCTGATAACTTTACTAGTTAACATTAAAACTGTGAACTGTTGAATAACAGCCTGTTTTTTCTCTATATGAAACTTTCATTTTTACTTATACAATTCTGAACCAGTGGGTTTAAGACTTGAGCAAGATTTCACCCTTGCATACCAGATTTATGTCAAATTAACAATATTTCAAAAGTTTCTAGAAAAATATTGCACGAACCTTTTTTGATGAAAAGAATGATTGAAAGACTCTGGATAATGAAGACTTGTCTTGATAAGATTAGAAAGCTGCTCTGGTGTGGGTCTCGCAGGTACTGGTGTGTTTTCTGGTCGAAGAAACTTTAAGAGACCCATTTCTGGTAATTCCTGAAACACAAATTCAGAATGATATTTAAAATATTGACATAAGGTACTGTGCAACACAAGAAATCCCATCACAGAAGCTATAGTTTTCCATTATGAATTATAACTCCAGAGAAGTAAGTCTACAGCATCATGAAGCTCACAGTTTTTTCCAATGTGTTTTATATTTAACCATTATAGAAGAACTGGTATGATTTATCTGTTACCATCTTTTGAGACAGAGATTTCACAGTGGCTTGTGAAATCACAATCTGTGCAAGTTTCACAGAAGTGTGCTATTGTTGCAGTGTTTTTTTAGCGTTTGATTTTGCTTTGTTTCTAAGAAAAAGGAACAGCATTTACAGTTCCCTAAGTAGCTGTACCTTCAAAAAAAAAAAAAATATCCATCACCAGCCCTGGGAAGTTCACTACAGGAAAGCCAGGTTTCCCAAAACAGATGCAAAGTAAAGCAAACAGAAGTTTACAGGAACACGCCAACAATGACAGAATTTAATAATGCAGACTAGCTTAAAAATTGTATAGCAAGTTATTGCGGATATGAGTTACTTTCGACCCCAGCTGAAAGTCCAAATGAAGCACTGACACACTATTTGGGATTCACAGTTACTTTCCAAGTGCTACCAATTGTGCAATTGGTGCTAGGATAGTTGTTTCTATTTTTAGAAAGCTTTTTGCTGCCTGGAGCCCTCTACAAAGGCCAGCTTCAAACAAGTATACCTAAAAGCTAAACACAAGCTTACTGTTCCAAACAGAATAATCTCAACATCTTCACTTATTCATCAGTTACAAAAAGCCCTGGACCTTTGGAGTCTGATGTTTTGTTACTTTGAAACAAAGTCATATATTATCCGTACTTAATTGCAGAGTCATTCACACTGGATTTAGGTATCTCCTGCAACAGCACTAAGCCAAAAGTTGGAAAAGTCAAAATCCACACCATTCAAAGCATCTTTTGAATTAGCTGATAGATGTAAGACAGGTGTGCCTATAATGCATTCTTTAATATCTTTGACCTTCCAAATTGAAAAGTTCTTCCCTTCTATCAGATGGGTAGAACTGATGGTATCGTCACATGCAGTCATTCTAAAGACTTTCCCTATGTAGTATTAGGCAATTTAGTTTTCAATTTCAAAACCAATCTTCAATGAGTGGCACAATGTGCTCTCAAATATACCAGAAGAAAAATTAAACACCACAATTTGATTTACAAGTTGTATAGAAATTCAGCACATTTGCCCCATAAATCACAAGTTACACATAGTCAAAAGGATTATTAGCACATCCAGTCAAGTATGAAGCACCAATATAAACAGAGTAGAAAACCTAAATAGGAAACTCTCAAACAACACTAAGCATAAGTAAAAGCAGAACATGAAAGCAACAGAATAAGAGTAAGAAAGGTATCTCAAGTGATGGGTCTTTCTCCTCCTGTTTTAGATCAGAGAACTCCCATTTTAAAACCTCAACTTTAAGTTGGTTTCCTTCACCATGCAACTCACGCATATTCATTCAAGCTCCTAATTATAGAAATGATGACTCCAGGAACCATATTTTACTAATACATCAGTAATAACACATTTGAAAGCACAAATGTTATCAGCTCTGCAGTCCACCAATGGGTAAGGCAGCAGATACAATTTTTCAGCTATTTGGAATATTTCATTCATGACAACAGCGTAAGCCAGTCCTCCCAAACTGGTACAGTAACTGCTACATTAATTCATACATCAGAGTGAAAAATGTACCCTTTGGTTCCTGATGTTTACCCTTAAGAATTTTGCTTTCCCCCCACCAAGCTTGTTTAAAGAAAGTCTTAAATCCCTTCCAACAACAAATCTGTTTGATTCAAGTATACCCTCCCACGTATTCTGTAAAAAAAGAAATTCTGAACTAACACAGATGTCAGTAATTCACTGTTAGGAAAAATGAAGTTATTTAAAGTTAGTTAAACCTTAGCCTCTCCCACCTTTCAAAAATTCCGACTTCCACCCAACTATTGCTGCTTAAGTTGTATCTACATCAAGCAGCATTACCAAAAATTATCATCTCTGAAATACAACACTGCAAAAAAGCCTGCATTCGTATTATATGCATTTTATGGATTTTACTTTGGGCAAGCACTGGTCTAATCCACTGGTCTAGCCCAGGACTGAATGAGCAGCACAGAAGCTTATCATGTGCAGTCCTGGAGCACATGAATTAACTCTGCTTGGAAGATACCCGCTTTCTGTGTTACAAAACCACTTCACAACAGAAATAGAGGGCTGTACATGGGGACAGTACCTTTTAAAAAAACATGCCTGATCTAACACACGCTCAGACAGTTTCTCTCACCTAGACTTCAGCCAAAACTAAGTTTACACTCACATGCTAATGTGTTTCAAAAGCATGGATGCGCTATTCCCCACGTGCCGCCATGCCCAAGTGACAAGCCTCTACCAGATCACTGCTCACCTTCCGTCAGTGGAAAGTCTGTGCCAATTAGAAGGGTGGTAAATGCCCCAGCCCCATGCTACTACTTCCACCATATTGAACTGTGCTCTTCCTTTGGAATCTTTTGGATCAAATTCACTAAATTGGAAAACTATGGGAGACAACAGTAAGTAGTAATATTTATTAACAGCCCTGACTCTGACTGGATGTTTAAGGTACTCGTCCTTTTACTAAGCTCAGGCAGAAAGGTCAAGAACAAGAGACAGAACAGCTTTGCTTCAGATGTAATCATAAATTGACCTTCAGTTAAAACAACCTGAATCCTGAAAGCAAGTTTCAGAAAAGAAACAGAATCCATAACAGTATCGTTGTCAAAAAAGAACAGCCGTTAGTTACAAATACCCAGTTATTTTATATTAGTGAGTTTTTTACTACTTGGACTCAAACAGCTACTGCTAACACATCTGTTCAGACCTATTCACTTTACTAACACCTAGTTGCTAGTGCCTATAACATACCACTTTGTGGCACTTTCCGTGTTTCTGATTCCAGGAAATAAACTGTATTTAGCATTTTTCAGGAAAAGGCCATTTTTTCAAAAATACAAGTGAGAGAAGTGATAGGAAGGTAAGTGTTACCCACATTATTCACACATCTTTCTATATGAAACACATAAATGCTTTAACAAAGCCAATATTCCTTCAGTGCTCCTTCAGCATACTAGGTGTTATGATTCCAAACTTCTAGAACCAAGATCTAGAGTAGTTCATCACATCACCTCAGTCTACTGTGTCCAGTAACCTATGCTCAAGAGCAGTGCTATTCAGTTAAACAAATAAAAAATGCGTAGTGTAAACAACAAAAAATAATCTGTATTCAATGACAGAAAACCAGTAAGCTTCAAAGTCATAGTTATTATTGTCTTGGTTAGAATGACCTAAGTTTAGAAATTGTAGTTTTGAACAAACATGGGAAGAAAAGGAAAGGAAGCACACGCATTTCACCATCCAAGTTAAATTTGTATAGAATTTTACTGTTATTTTCTTTCTTTTTACATGGGTACACGCAGAAATTTTACCCAGAAAAAGATTTTAAGCCTCCCCCAAGGCCCACTATCTTGTGTTTTATAGAAACTAGAGGTTTTATCTTGATTTTATCAAATACTATGTCAAGTTATGCTAGCACAAGACAGGAATAATCACATCCTGCTGTCTGTTCCACATCCCTGTTGTACGCATTGCATGCTCCACAGTGAACCAAGCCAAAGCAACCACCTGTCCTCGCATCTCAGTCCACAGTCTAACACCTTAGCTCAGATACACAATAAAGATGACTTCATACCAGTGCACCCAACGACCAATCAACCAGTAACTGCTGGAAGAACTTGAGAAACGTTAAGTGACAATGAATACAGACTACTGCTCTTCTACTGCAGTGTTTTACTGCAGCCATGTTTCTCCTGAACAATTCTAGAATCTTCTATAAATCCAAACTAAATCCTTAAAAGCTGGCAAAAAATTAGTCTGAGATATACCGTAACTGACAAACCAGTAGAAGCCAACCAGTACATAGAATTTAGCCAAAATATAAAGCAAGCTATCCTGATTCATTTAATGTAGTTATTTGAATTCCACTAAGGATTGAGTAATTTCTCAGAAGGCTTAAAATCAAAAATAAAGGAGGGGGAGCAAAGAGAAGTCTTGTTCATGTTCTCTCCATGTCTATTGTGAGACTGTTCTTGGTTGAGGTTGCTTGTATTGCCAGAGACACAAAAATGCCTTCGCTGGCTGCAACAGTGTAAGGCAGAAGCAGTTCAAGTCAAGAAGAAAGTTGCTGAAGAGCAACAAATAGAGCACAAGAAATGCAGGGAGCAGACTCTTGCATTCTGGGTGACACACTGTTCAGGATCTGCAAATAAAATTATGTTTTCCAGGTAAGAGCAGTCCTTTATCACTTAAGGACTGACAGCCAACATGTCTTGGTAAAAAGCATGCATCTCCATCTCCCTCTGCTGTCTAGACCACAGACAACAACTGACTTCCATACTGTCAGCACAAGACATTCAGGAGCGGTTTTAAGAGTTACCAACCCCAATTATGACTTAGAGAATAAATACAGATTTTCAGGACAAACGATTCGAATGTTACAATGTAAGTTTCAAAATTATATACTGAAAATGTGAAGTTAGAAGTAATGTTTGTGTTTTCTCCCCCCCAGTTTTTCACTGCTTGTGTAAAGTTAATGTAAGAGCAAGATAATTCAAAGACAATACACAATTCTTAATAGATTAGGTATGTTATTTTCTCTACTAGTCTCTTTTAATCTTCTTTTGGGTGTTTTTTAATTCTTAAATGTGCAATGAACAAAGTAAAGTCTTCAGACATTGGAACTTAAAATTTTCCTATTTTTCAATATCAATGAACAACAGCCAGTTTAGCTTAAACTGCACGCCCCTTTTGACCTATTCCCATCTATTACATAGCACAAAGAACTAAATGGAAAAAACATCTTAATGATGTAAAAATACTTAAAGGCTTATGAACCAAAGCCAAGTGCACAGCTTCAGAATAATTCACTACTTACGTTATAGCATGATATTTATACAAAGACATTTGTCCTATATTGTTTTCTTAACAAAATTAATGCATAGTACTATTTTCTGCAATTTTGAGTAAGAGCTCACTAAAAGCTATATCTGATATTGGTAACATTGGGAAAAAAAAAAAGGACACACAGTAGGAGAATGGCACCAAAGCAAGAAGGAACAGCAACATACTGCTCAGCAGAAGACTAAACAAGTACAAGACTTGTTTCTTTTTTATTTTCCACATTAGTCGTCTTCACATATATAAACTGCGACTAGCATAGATATTTTTACAGAATCATATCCATAGCTTCCATAGTTACTGATTCATGTAACAGGAGACACTCACTAGTTTCTTACAGATGCTATTTCCTTTGAATAATCAAACAGGCTATAAAACTTCAAAGTGAAAAAATTTGCTATTAATTGATCAATTCCAATGGAGCTTTCAATGTTTTTTTTTAACTGTTCCAGTGTTTCTGCTGTTCTAACATTTCACGCTGAAGGTCTTGACTTAAGTTATGCATAGTAGCAGAATTTATAAAATTGATTTTGTAACACTCAGAAAAAAATTCCACCATGTCACTGTTATGAAGTAATCATTAACTTTGACTTAATACCATTAATAAGCCGCTAGTTCTACACTCAAATACCACAGAACAGGTTACTCCAACAACTGCGTAGCACTATAGTTAGTTGTATTTTGCTTTTCTCATCTTTAAACTGAGCCTAGCTGTTTCAACACAGATGATTAATCAAAGCTGAAGTCAGACAGTCTGTATTATTTAGTAATAACACCTCTCTGATGTTAAGATTCTACAAAAGCATCAAGCTTATTTACAAGAAAACATATCAAGTCTATTTTGGGAAAAACAATTGTAAATTAAAACTTCACACTAGATTACCTGCTTCTGAGGAAATGAAAAAGCCTCTTTCCCAACTGTGTTAAGGGCAACATGATGCTGGCCCTCCAAAATAAGCTGCTTGTTGTCTTCCACAACATATGCCTACAGAATAATACAAAGATATTAGCAGGCCAGAAACTATCATAAGCTTCATAATACAGAATTACTGACTTCCCCCTAATTTAAGCGAAGTACGTACTGTTCCTAAAAGCTAGCAAAACATATGTGTATGCTTTTAATTTTGCATTCATGTACAACTGCTTAGGACTGCCAGTTTCCATCACTTAATATCTGCATTCTGGTAAACGAGATTTTTCTCTTCTAAACAGACTGGGTCATTCTTACAGTTCTGTGATAAAAGCAAGCATTGGTAAATCTCTTAGTTTAAGATTGCACAATTTTCTCTTTTAAGAAGAGAACTTATAAGAACTGGGTGCATCCAGAGTAATGTAAAACCATTTAAACATGCTTATTACAAGTAACAGTTATTAAAACCATCTTTGCTTCTTGACACCATTTTAGTTCATTTGCTTGTTTTCACAAAAAAATTTTATCCATAGATTTTGTATGAGTATGCTTGAAAGTTCAGAAGCCCATATTAATTTATTTTCTAACAGTCAACTTTCATGGCCAAATCACCAAAGGCCACAACCATACATACCTTCCACAGTACGACAATGTTCAAATCCACTTCACTGCATCTTTGTATCAATCTGACCGCCTCATCAAATGATTGTTTCACAGCCCTTTGAGATGCATGAGTATGAGATTGCACATGTGTTCTTTTAAATTCAGAGGATAAACTTTGGAAAAAAAAGTCTGCACAAGGACTGGCTGAACTTATTATCTGCAAGAAAAAAAAGCCAGAAAGTGCTCTCAGAACAGGATGCAGGCTGACAAGTTACTCTAACAGAGCTCGTCATTGTAGGATTTCAGTTCCATCATCTTGCTTTGCTTCCCTTTGCAAACCTACAGGATGCCACACATCTTTGTTTCCATGCTTGCCCGGTTACAGATCAGTCCTACATAATGAGCTGTCTAAGGTAACTAAGGGAAACAGAGCTATAGATTATTGGCCTAAAACCACAAATACCAAACTTCGAAATAAGGCCTTTGATTATTACCACCAGACAGCCTACTGTGATATATTAAGTGTAGTGGAGAGAGCTGAAGTGTCCCACTAACTGGCATGCAAGTCAGGTTAGCTAGAGCTATTTATCAAAGTTAGGAACAGACATTTTGCTAGCAATAGCAAAGATAGATTGCACAGCATATTCCCCATAAGTGGCACAGCCATAAGTACTGTGCTGTTTGTCAAGTTTGTCATTTTTGCTGAGCTCTTCCAACACCAAAAGCTTGATGAGGAAGCAGTGGTTTTAAGACTGACAGCAATGATACTTGGAGACACTTGAAGACAGCAGGGTAAGTAAGAAAGTTTAGTTTCCTAACCCCTCCCTTTCAAAAATGCCAGCCTTTCTAGAATATGCTGTCGCAGAGCTGCTAATTGTTGCACTAGCAGAATACTCATACAAAAGACCACAACCTGATTTTGGAGTAGCTGTCTAGAAGGGAGGGTCCCCTCCCCACCTCTCCATTAGAGAACAATGTTACAAGAAAGCTGAAATTCATGCAGCTCATTCAACTTTAAAAATGCAAAGAGGGATCATCTACCTCAGACTTTAGTCCTAACTTCAATTTATATGCCTATAAAATGAAATAGCATAGTAGGTTTTCTTTGGCTTTTATGACAAATGTACACATCATAAAATAAGCAGTCTGACATCCAGCTAACTAAATCTACTATGCTAATCTAGATCTCTAATCTGATGCAAGTGGCCTGCTTTCCTCAGGTTTTGCAAGCGCATTTGCTGTACCAAGATCATCTGCTAAAAGATTCTTCTTCAGACAATACCTGTATGCTTAAAAAAAAAAAAAACTAAAAAAATAAAAAGAGCATGATAGTCTAGATTCTTAAACTTTAAGAAAAATCAAAGACAGACTCCTTGAACTGATTACAACCTATATTAGTAGTTCTGAAATTCTGGTATGTACATCCTTTAGAGGTTTCCAGATTGTCTTTAGAATAAACTGTAATTAAAATTTGTAGCTTACCTTTGTAAAAATATAATTAAGAAAAAACAATAGAACAAGAATCTGACATCCACAGATCTCTACTAGAAAACTAGAAGGCTGAGAAATATTCAGAACTGCTCTGAGGAGTTGGTAAGGAAGGAGAAATGTTAGCAAAGAAGTTCATATCACAACGTGCTCTTAAAGTAGTTCAGCTGTGGGGTTGGGAACTTCAAATCCTTGAATATCTGGTAGCCTATGTTACCTTACCTTCCCTTTGTAAAAAGAGAGCTAACCTAGAAGACCAATAGTTTTTGATGTGCAAAACAACTTCCCAAGTATGAAAGCACTGTTCCCAATTTTAAAAAAGGCTTTCACTGGGATACTTGCACATGCCAGGCATACCTGGCACAAGAGAAAACACGCAGCAGCACTAGTTCACCTACCTGTTCATTTCCAAAGACAATGTCTGCAAATGTGTAATTTTCTAAAGGATAAAAAGAGAAGGCATTGTTTCAGTATCATGAGAAGTCACAACCTTCGGCATACAGCATCCAAATAACATTTTCTTCAAAAAGTGACCCCATTCAGGAGAGAACCTACCTTCTGAGTTTTTGCATCTTACTGCTTTAAAGCATAACTTCGCTCTCTCTCTGCTAGCAAGTTTAGTATCTGAAAGAAAAAGGTTGCAAGAATTTTTTCCCTCCTCAACATAATCAGAGCCCCTCCTCATTAGACAAAAGTCAGCCTTTCAACTTCACAAGTAAGAAACACATAGATGATACTCAAGAAGAGTAACTAATCAAGCAGAGTAACTGCAGAGCGGTAAAGAAAATGCATCTTCTGCTGATCCCTTTCATACACTCCAAGAGCAGGAAGTGAGCCATAATGCATAAAGGAGATACAGAGAAAGAAGGGTAGAACAGAAGACAAAAGGTTCAGTTAATCTGACTGGCTCATCCTCAATATAAGAGGAACATCTGTCCAGACTGATTTTTAAGTACCTAAGATGTCATCATACAATTAAAGATAATAATTGCTGTATACAATAACAGCAACTTTTTTTGCCTGGGACAGTTGGCCTTTTCAAAAATTAGCTTGTATTAGCTAACGCAGGATACAGCACCAGCACTTCTGATCTATTTCTACTAACTAAATAGACCACTTGTCAAATATTCCATTGATCAGTTAAATTTAACAATGCCATAAATAACTAAAAGAACACTGAAACACATTTCTTCTGAGACAAGTTATCATCAGCCAAGCCAAATGGATTTCTCTACATCACAGAAATAATTTACCTGTAAGTTAAGCCCATTTTTAAAATGAATGAAGTCTGAAAGTTATCTGACAATATACTTTTCTTGAAACAAACAAAAGAAGCATTGTAGTATGCTTGAAAGGGACAAGAAAGTTTTTAGAAATTATTCTGAAAGCCAAATTCAACTCCTTGGAAGATTCTTTAATTGTTCTTGTCAGGCAGAAGCTAGACTTGCAATCCTTTTGGTGATAAAGATACACACCTTTGTCTTCAGAGACGTTAACAGATTTTTGAAGCTTCCAGTGCTTGCTATTACTTGAAACTTGTACTATATGAAATTCTTTAACACCAGTCTCACTCTAAGGAAGAAACAAAAACTTGGTCAAGTAAGACCATTCAGAACTGTGATGTTCTATATCATACAGTAAGTGTTCATGGCAAGGTACCACTGTTAGAATCTTAGTTTAACTCATTATTCACAGCATCCATAATACTGTATGAAGACAAGAAGGTATTTAAGACCCATGTAACCTAAAACAACACTCTCAGCGCACAGCAACTTCCAATTCCAGTAAACAAAGCCACACAAAGAAGAAACAAAGATCCCCGAGAAAAATACCTGCAAGCTAGTATTTTAGATCAAGACAACTATAATAAAACCTAGGCTTCTAGCTCCAATGCAGAACACTGTCCACAAAGCCACTTAGTTTCTAAGATTACTTTAAGAACATCGCTAGATCATAAACTCCAGGAATTAAAGAACTTTTTTTTACGTATGTAAAGTAGCTTTTGAGGTTGGTTTCCTTTCTTGGAAAGAATAAGGTGGTAGTAGAAAATTAAATCTCACACAATGTCATCTGTTAACTTGCTTAGTACTTTATAAAACATTCCTTCTCAAAGGAGTAGACAATATTTACTTAGTAGCTGAAGAAAGAGTGTACACACCTTTAAAACAAAATGACAAAACAGCTCAGTGATTCCACTACCAGCTAAGTGTCTAGGAATTCTATAAACAGAGGATTCAATTACCTTGCTTTGTGGATGAAAAAATGGGACCAGCTTTACCGAGAAAAACGAGTAAATTTAAATTAGCATGTTATGAAAAACTGAAATATTTTCATCCGCTTTGCTAAGGCAAAAGATCACAACATATATATCTGTATTTGGATTATATTTGCAAAAATGTCTTTTAGAGTTTGGTAAACAGAGAAGCTTCCTTCAATTTGAGGCTTAAATTTTGACTTCACATAACCAATAATTCTACCAGTGTTTTCACTGAAAGACTGTGGCGGTAGGGGGGTGGGGCCCAGGTTGTCTCATTCAGAACTATCTTAAATTGTGATCATCAAGAACACACATGAATTTGGAATAAATCTTCATAAAAGAAAAAAGACTCCAAACTACAGTACCAGAATTTGTTTAGGTTAGAGATAGTTGTAGCAGACTTTCAGAGAGTTGAGATAAAACTTAATATCAGTACTCTTTCCAACAGTAACTGGAATGATTAAATATGCAAGGTTTACTTAGTGTTTGCAAAATAGTTGTAAAAAAAGCCTTTTACTTATGTCTTTGTTCTACTGGTGACATCTGCTGAGCTTTAGAACAGTATTATTATTAAGAGTAAGAACTTACAGTATTGATATTTTCTACATCCACAAACACCAACATATTGTCCCCTCTGCCTTCTTCATCTTCAAGCGCATTACTTCTGCAGACAGTAGCTCGAATATGCAGAGACCGGCTAGTACAAATAACTGCAGTGTGCCTTAATACTCTGTGACTAAAGAAGGAAGGGGAAGACAAAGAAAAAAAAAAAAAAGACATCCTGAACCACCAGGACTGCTGTCCAGAACCTGTCATGAAGTAGGTTTGCTTTTATGTTTGTCATCAATATTAAGGCCATTAGAGTATTTATTCCTTTCAACCACTAAAGAGACACTTTTCTTTTTAGCTTCTTATCAAAACTGTATTATTTTTAACAATCATGCTACATGAGTAAGTGCTCTTCAAACATACAGTCTCTTAGCCAGTTTGAAATACTGGGAAAAAAGGTTCATATGCTACCATAACAAAAAATACATCTGAAGTATTTCAGATGTAAGACAACCAGCACAGTGGAACTGAACAGGCATGTATTAGCACAGGGATATCATTAAGCTATTTAATACCACCACATGCTTTGGAAAATAAGTTTGAGTAAATAAACCATAAAAGGCCTACTACTTAGTCACATCTGTATAAACATTTATTTAAAAGCATTTAGACAGAATACCATTGCATTCAACAAATTCCCCTGAACTGAGAATCTTGAAGACATTAGAACTCAAGCTCTAACAGCTATAAGGTAGCAACGGAAGAACAGTATTTACAGAATAATGAAAGAAAGGCATACAAAAAAAATACAGTCTTAATTTCTGAATTCGGCTGTTTGATAGATTTCTACACTAAGGCTTCCTGAAGGCTGATCTCTTCGTTTTCTGAAGAAAGGCCTGTTCACCCCAGAATCACTGAATAATGTGTTTCTCCAAAAAGTCCTCCTGAGCCTTCTTAGCGTTGGACATGGGTGGGACTTGGGAATAAGTAACACAAAAAGTCAACTTGCTACGTTTTAATTTCAAAGAAACCACTATTTGTTAGCTACTAGTATCAAACTTGACTGTCCACTGACTCAGGGTGGTCCAAAAAGTAACTATACAACAGCATGCAAGTCAAACTTGGTATTTAACCCCTCCGAAGAGAATAACTTTCATCATAATAAAATTACTAACCACATTTTAACTACGAACAAAATCTTTTGCTCAAAGTAGAAAAGAAGAAATAAATTAAGTCATGATTTTTTCCCCTAGGCCTCAGAAAGATGCGTTTCCAGAGAAACTAAATATGAACAGAGTTTGTATTAACAGCATTCCATTAACCCTCCTTCTATTATTTTAATAATTGTCATTTTGATGGAAGCAGTGTACGCTATATAATTTCATACGGAAATTAGATCATATAGTAGAAAAAAAAAGTCATCACTTAGAATAGCAGATAACAGGCCACTTTTACATTATCACAACAACTGGAACTCATGAAGATACATTATAAACATTGTAAGCATAAGTGTGTGTCTACTAAGTTTGACACAAAACAGTAGATAAAAAACTTACCACATTTTTGAGTGTCTTTTAATACTTTCATAGTAAAACAGAAAGTTAATTTCATGAACACCTTCTTCATCTGGTCCCCGTAACCACATTGGCAGCTGCACTGAAGCCCCAGGAAGAAGAACAGCATCAGGAAGTGGGACATGGATTACTTCAGGCTGACCTCCTGTGCCAACCCCAAAGTCTACAGAAGAAGCTGAAGATAGCAGTGCTGTACGCACAGAGGTAGGATCTGTCACAACAGTCTTGTAAGCACTACAGTTTTCAGAAGCTGAAGGACTTAGTGGCGTTAGAACAGCAGTATTTCCACCAAAAGTAAAAAATTCTGGATGTTTGGACACGACCTTCAGTGTGGTAAGAGGACACTTGCTTACGTTCACAAATTCTACATATGCTTTTCGGATTTCTCCACAGAGAAGCCCTGTAGGAAAATTTATGAAGAACACCTGTATGCGAGAGAACAGGAGAAAAGAAAAACCTGAACATTGAGCCCAGTAACAAATGCACATGAAAACAGCCACCAACTGTATTGCTCTCTACAGCTTTCCTGAGCAAAGTGGAGAGGGAGGTGATGATCTCTTCTCCCTGGTATCCAGTGATAGAACACTGGGAAGGCCTAAAAGTTGCTCCAGGGGACATTTAGATTGGACATTAGGAAGCATTTCTTTACTGAGAGGGTGGTCAAACACTGGAACAGGCTTCCTAGAGAGGTGGTCAATGTCCCAAGCCTGTCAGTGTTTAAGAGGCATTTGGACAGGGAACTTAACATGCTTTAACTTTTGGTCAGCCCTGAATTGGTCAGGCAGCTGGATTACAAGACCACTGTAAATCCTTTCCAACTGAAATAGTCTATTCTATACAGTGTTGTCATTAACCAGCTAGTCATACCATTTTAATTGCCTTAACAAGGAAAACCATTGTGTTTTAATTAGCCAACTTAAAGAACTATTCTAGATCAATGGCAAGCAAGCATAAAAAAAAAAGTTTTGCCTGTTTTCCCTCACCTTGAAATTTGGCTACAAAAAGCTATTGACAACTGTCTAAACACAAGTTGCAAAACACAGATTTGCAACTGACAGATTAAAAATTAACTGGAGAAATTTAGGCATTAAGACAATCTAAGACTTCATTGTCAGAATTACATTTATATATATATATATATATAAGCTCTGGATTCAGCTATTTGCTCAAAACTGTCAATAGAAAGTAGCTACGTACCTCCAACAAAGGCATTTCGTCTGTAATAATGGGATCTAAACGTCGATCAGGTCCATATTTAATAGACGTTTTTTCTTCTTTTGTGTTATTAAGTCGAGGCCCTTGGATTTCTAAATCTTGTCGTCCTCTTACAGATAACCCATTGGAGACAAACTTTCCTGAAAAAAATTATTAAAAAAAACCAAACCAAAACAAAAAACTTCCAAAGTAGTTCCTAACTTTTTTCTGAGAAGTGATCCAAAGCTCCCTATCCAATCTCAAAAATCACTGGGCACATGCAGTGTTCACTGATTAAGCAGCATCACTGACAAAGAACTATTCAAAGCTTACTGTCACACATACCACATTGCTATTACAAGTTCAGACAGACAGTTACCCACTGTTGTGGACTTACTCTACCCTTTAATAGTTTGACAGATGGTGAGGGTAGGGGGAAAGGCGCATACATGGAGCATAAAGGTGATGTATTTATTTCCTTTCTCAATTTCTGCCAAGCTGGAAAAGTCACCCAAAAGGTTTTTATTTCCTTCAAAGACAGGCCAGGACTCTCCACAAGATTTTTATCCCAAAGGTTTCCAGTTCATAGATAGCTAAACAAGCTTCGTTATTTATTCATTCTTTTTGACACTTTCAAACATGTGCTTCAATCCTCATTTCATCCAACAACTAAATTTTCCCTATGAGCATCAGTTTCAGATAAATGACTCAAACCAGATCAAGTGACATGCAATTAACAAGCCATTTATATGTTAACATAAAGGAAAGAATCAAAATAAAGTCACAATGATAAAAAAAAATTCTATCAGCCAAATTTATATTTGGGAATTTAAGTGAAGAAGTTCAGTGCAACATTTAGACAAAAGTTGAAAGCTAATGAAGCAAGAAGACCCAGAAGAAAAAACAATGGCAAAAGAATCAATGAAAGTTGATAGAGATATAACATAGCACAGATGGAATATTTAAATATAGATTTTTTTTTAATGGTTTCAGAATTTCCAGATTTAAAACCAACAGTAAGTATCAGTTTGGCAGAGGTTACTTCCTTGCTCACGGGATTCTTACAGGTGCCAATTAATTCTTCTCCTGTTCCAGTTTCCCTTTTTTCTACATCCTTATCTGAAGGAATGCTTTGCATTATGATAGTCAAAAATTAAACACTAGAATTTAGTTCTATTCCGCAGAAGCCACGTCCCTCCCTTCCCAGGACACACAACTTAAGGGAATAATGCACTCACCTGTCTGTAATCCAATAGAAGGATCTATCCCATCTAATGTCACAGCACCCTGAACAGTGCCAAGATTATAAACGACTCCCAGAATATGTAGCTCCCCTGTTTGATGGGGAAAGAGCTTTAGTCTTGCCTGTGGAGATATGTTAAATTTTTGTTGTTGTTGCTACTAGAAAAAAGTATTATTACATTTAAGTGTCCAACTGCTAAAAGACATTCACAGCTATGTTTACTTTATAGTTGTGCCAGATGTAACTGCATACAATAACTACAGGTCGTTTACTGTTAAGTTCATATACACAGAACTTACCAAACCAGTCCACAGCTGAGAGATGCTCATTCCATTAGAAAAGAAACCTAAATTGTAACCAAAATGAACTTTAACAGAGGCAGAATTGCAGAATGGTTGAAGCTGGAAAGGACCCCTGGAGAACATCTTGTCCAACTTGCCTGCTCAAATAGGGCCACCTAGAGCCAGCTGCCCAGGACCATGTCCAAATGGCTTTTAATATCTCCACTGATGGAGACTCCACAGTCTCTCTGAGCACTGGGCACAAGCTGCCCAGTCACCACCACAGCAAAAAACAAAAGGCATTTCCTGATGTTCAGATGGAGCCTCCTGTGTTTCAGTTTGTGTCCACTGACTCTTGTCCTGTCACATCCTCCCTTCAGATATTTATATACACTGATGAGATTCAGAAGTTCCAGTACTTCCTATGTCAGTAATGTCTTCTGCAAGTTTAGCGGGAAGTTCAGATCATAACAAGTCTGAACTCCACCCTAGAGGTTCAACACTGAAAATACTATTTTTAAAACAAAGTATAGTACTTACCACTTTTGTCTCCTCACTATTAATTAGAAATTCTGCTATTGCTTCAGTTCCTATCATACCATCATCACATATTCCCTGAAAAGAAGAAATAACTTTTCAGATATTATTATTCCTTGGCAGAAAAAGTGCCATAAATATTACTTTCCACATCTTTCCTAAATTCATAGGCTTTTTTCCTCAAACACTTTCAAACTGCAGTTAGGACCAGTAGGTGCCATATGCCCAGTTTCTCAGGCTTTCTGGTTTAAAGAAGCCGCTAGAGAGCTCAGCAACCATTTACTTGAGAGAAATTTAAGATTTACCACTATAAATTGGAACCATTTCCAATCAATTTCACTGATACTCACGAAAGTATTTATCATATCATTAAAGTAGCAGTTCAGAACAGAAGGGAAAGCATATGGCAATCCTTGAGACTTAGTTACGTGAAACCATGTTTATAACTGTGGCAAAAACTTACAGCACCTTTAAAGATCACTATGTTCCAAATGCCTTTTGCCAGGAAACTAAATTACTAAGAAGTATGTTCTAATACTGAATATGATAGTAAATTAAAACCTTAAAATTATGAATGTAAGAACAGTCCTTCAGAGGAAAGTTTTGGCAGTATTAGTTGAAGTGTTTAATTAAACAGTAGTAAGTAGTTCATCTAAAGTATCTGAAGTATTCAAAACATTATTTTTTTTAATAAAATAAATCTTCATTTTTCTTTTGATTGAGATACCAAGATGTTCCTATGTCATACCAGCACAGTTTTTCAGAACACACATTTCACTACATTCAGTAGCTCCAGTCAGAAGGTGGTATTTGATAATATACCTATTGACATTACAAGTAATTTCTGCTGGTCAAGAATAGTGTGACTCAAAATAAATGTACTACACATACAATGAAGTGTTGGAAGTATTTTGTTTCACATTAAACTTTATAATATTCATTACTGTAACATTTGTTAACTTGGCTCTTCATAACCTATGGATCTAGGAAAACCTAAATGATGCATAAAGAAATTCAGTAACTACTTTTTTTTTCCCAACTTACACTTAAACCAGCTGTTTTCATACTACAGAATTTTGAAGACTTAATGTATACTCCATAACTGTAGCTGTTTGGTTTTGGCTGAAAAAGGGTGAAGCTTTCCTTACCAGCTCTTTCGTTTCTCCATCATGCTTTGTATTGAAGTCTTTAGGCTGAAACTTCCACAGCAATGAAAGGTCAGTCAAAAGAAGTGGAACTTTTAGAGGGTTTCGGAAGGACACTTCTACAGTTATTGGTTCTATTAAAAAAATGCAAGAAAATAATGGCAACAGTTTATCCCCACCACAATCTGAAGGTTCTCCTAAATCAAAGCACTCTTGCGCAAACAACTTGCACAAGAACACTGGTTTAAATCTACAATAACAGAGGAAATATTGTACAAATTTATCTAACTCACTTTATTCTGGAGTGTATAAATCTTAACTTTACCTTCTATCACAGCAAGTGGAAATCTGGAGTTATCTGTGTAGCGATTTAAACAGAATTGTGTTGCTTGAAAGTTCGAAGGTATTATTCCTTTATTTATCACAGAAACAACCTGCTCCTCAAGTTCCTTCCACTGTTGTGATGATTCCGAGTCATACTCCTGATCCAGACTTACATGTGTAGCTGCCTGCTTTTCACCTAGTACAAGTAAGGCAATCTTAGCAGGTGAGAACAGTGGCATGCAACAGTTGCAAGAGGGCTGCACTGGCAATTTGGTAACTATTGCTAAAATATTTTAAGTTCTCAGTCACTGTCATTTTTACGTTACAACTGATTTACATCAGTGAATTACAAGATACTTTGAAAGACACACATGGAAAACAATACTGAGAATAATTTGAGTATACTTCTATTTGCAAATTGTGGAATTCCAAGATTTTAGCATGTAATAAACACAGTTTACAGATTATTTTTACTTTTATGACAGACTGCAGTCCAACACTACAGCTTTGGTTTACATAAGAACTTCCACTCAGCTTACTTTACATTCAGGAATCACAGCGTTTCAAACATTTAATTCAAGAGAAAGTTAACTATAAATCTAGTTTCTAGCATTGGCACTAGCGTCTAGCATTTGCTAAAGCATTAATAATCCCTTTCATGAAGTTCATTAGACTTGCACTGAAGGTTTCCAGCTATGAAAAATAGTGGAAGTCAGCACATCTGCATATGAGGACTTCATATTTACACAGAAAATCTGAAAACATCTAGCGAGTGTATACTAAGCTTAAGCTCTGCTTTTGAAATCTTATTCAAGAAGCTACCTTGTCACATTAGCTTTACATAATGATAGATGATTTTTTTTAAAGTTACACCAACTCTTGCATATATTTTGGTGCAATAAGGGATTTCAATCTGTTTACATAAATTTTTCTAACCTTCTGCCGGTCTTCTATCATGCCCAAAGAAAACACGGGTTGCTGAGCTGTTAATATATGGTAAAGGAAGCTGTGGTAAGGGACCATCAGGTGATAGCTGGGTTACGTTCTGGAGCAAAGGAAGAAAACAGTGGCATGCTATTATGCAAATACATGATGTCCATGCTGTACCTTACCAATGATTGAATAATACCAAGTTACAAGGACTCAGTGTTTGAACAGGTAGTATTTTTAAGATGGAATGAATAATTTCAATTGTTTTGATAATTTCCTCTCCTTTGACAGTCTTGAAGTACTATTCTTCAGTAAGTTTAAAAGTTCATGAAAACATTATGGAAAAAGGAGAATAATTATTTTAATCCAGCACTCTAATCACTATTGTGACTGCGTGGCTGTTACAAGCTTAATTTGATGCAAAGCTTGACTGTAACTCAGAATTTGATAAACTATGTTCACTACACCACCACCATTACACAAGACCCTCACCACAGCTGAGCTGTGGACTCAAACACTAGTCTTGAGTAAGGTTTACCGTAACTCGTAAACACCACAGAAATTCTGTTTGCAAGCTTTAAAACACATTAACTAACTACACAGCTGCAAAACCACCCCATAATGTACATGGTATGCTACAACCCAGAATCACTCATGGATTTACAGCCAACATGAATCACTTGATCTATAAAAACCCATATTAAAGAATGCACTACAACATAGATAGGGAGTACTTTATAATACCAGAAAACGTAACAGAGCTACCTAGTCTTTATTAAACATTTATTATCAAAAGCCTGAAAAATCATTATAAATTCATCAAAACAAAACAGATCCGCTTCCTCTAAAAGAAACTGAACTATCACAAGATGCAATTCAGCTATAACCCTCAAAAGGAAGCGTTCATTTCACTGTAATAAAAACAGTGTCACACTGATACCCATCAGTGTAATTACACTTAATACACACAGGAGATGCAGCATATTTGGTTTTTTTAAAGCCTAAAGTAAAAAATAAACACATCAATTAGATTAAAAAAAAACCTGGAAGAAGCAGGTACGACAGAAAAATCATTTAATGACTTAATAGAAAATTACTGATTACTCAAAGAATAAAGACAATGAGAAGTCATTTACCTTATAAACATAAAGATATTCTCTTAAAAAAGCTCCTTGCTGAGCTGGAGGTTGTTTACTATCATTGATCAAAATATGCCTGAAGGCAGACACAGCATTGTCAAGCTGACGAAGCGTGAAGGACTGGCGACCAATAGTGAAGTTAATATGGTCTTCTGCAAGAGACCAGCCTTTCCCTTTGTAAACCTGCATGGCTTGACAGTAGCAACGTAAGGCATGTTTCTTCTGAAAGAAAAAAAAAAAAACCACCACAAAACAACAAACAAGTTAATATCTCAAATAATCCCATTAACCACTCACTAATATAAGGAAGACTGAACAGTGAGTCAGAAAAGTTACTGAAGTTTTTACCACCACCCTCAACTATGCTAAGTGTAATGTTTGCAGAACTATACCTCATAGCATCTGGTCAACATTAATCTAAGCACAGAAGTGCTGGTTGCTACAGTACAGCGTCTAGCCTGCAGATTAAATTCATGTTTTCAAAGACTAGTGTAACGGGCAGTAAGTTAAAAAAGCAAATAACAAGAAAAGACTACTTTTAAAAAAGTGTTCTATGTTGCTTTAAGACTGACTGCTAAAGTCTACAGAGCACTACTGCCAAGCCTCAGGACATAAACTAGATTTAACACATTACTTTTCACTTCTGTAACTGAACTTTCAGTGTGACACTTCCAGTCAACTGTTGTTCAGTAGACATACTTGGGACAAAAAAAATCCATGCCAAGCTAACTGACAGAATATAGCCCTACAGTATATACAAGACAAAAAATACCAAATCGCATCAGCCATTGGGAGATAGATGCTCTGCTCCCAATCAGCTTCAGTTCCTTTCCTGTACAGACATCAGGACCTGGGCATTCAATCCCAAGTCCAGGTATTGAACATCTGCATAGGCATTCACTGTACAGGCAAGTCTCAGCTTCTAAAAAAGGGAACAGCATTCCCTCATTTACAGCAGTAATGAGAAAAAATTTAAGATGTGTTCAAATTGGTATGGTGATGGCAGGAGAGTACAAGCATAAATCCTTAACATCAGCAGATTATTCCTGACAGTAAAATATGGTATTACAGTATGCAGTTGAGCAGCCTGGCTAACTTGTCTTCATTAGCATTTAATATTTTGGTGCCTCTAAGGAAAAAAGATAACCTACATTTCCTCTAACACTGAAAAAGCATTCCTTGAAAATCAGAATCCCTACAAGAATTAGACGTAAACGACAAGAGCTGTTACATGAAGACAAAGTCAAAGCTTTACAAAATGCATGTACTTTTCCAGGCAAAGGAGTGAGATATAAAAGAACAAATGAAAAAACCCTTTGATCGATAGCTCCCTGTCAGTACTGTATTGTACTATACAATAGACAGGGAAACTAGTGCATGAAGAAAACAAAGGGTGGGGGGAATACTCCTACTGTTCTTCACATCTGTGATTTTAAATACAGAAGCCAAGAATACAACAATACTTCCTTTGGTCCTTACCAGCATCATAAAACCAAGATTGGGTGAGGTGGGAGAACCACACCCCTCACTCCCCAACCATCAGAATTCTGTCTGAAACAAAGTCCTGTGGTCTTCGGGGGGGGAGGGTTCTCCTGTATTACTGGTTTGCAATACAAATTTACTTCTATCACAGGTTTGTAACTTATCAATAAGCTGAAGTTGCCTGTATTCAAGAACAGCCCCAAAACTGAATTCTGGTGACTAACCTCTGCAGGAATCAAGCACAAGCTATCTATAGAGAGTCTATCCCACAACTGGGGCAGAAATAAAGCATAGAAGTTATGTCCAACAAACTATTTAACACAGAACTACCTACACAGGGATGCGAATGGAAGTAAAACCAGTCTGATTTATATCGGTTAACTTGCTACTTAAGTCTAAACAGCCATAAAGAAATGCTTTAGTTGTCTTGTAGTAACTGTTCACACACCTGCACCTCCACTAAAAAGCATGTGGTTAAGGCACCAGGAAAAACAGGTATCTAAATTTTGCTATTATTCTAATAAATTAAGAGTGTAACAAATCCCTAACTCCTGTAACTCATTCATCTCAACAGCAAAAAAATACTCCTTTACCTAAAAACCCCTTGTATTTTACTGTGTATAAAATTAAGACCCAGAAATGAAAACACGTATCAGATCAGTGACCTTCAGCATTATCCAGAAGACCAAGCTGAGCAGTGTAGAAGTCATTTTCAGAACACGAGCTGAGTATTTCTGACAAAAAAAAGTGTCAGAAGCCAAGCATCTTTTTCCAGACTAACAACATACTTAACATGTTTTTCAAAGTATCAAATACCAGGCATGTTTTCCAGGCAGAAAGATAATACTTACCTGGCCTGCTTTACTAAACCTATGGCCAGCCAATATCATATGAAATGCAAACTTTCTAACCATGGGACTTTTCATGTTTATAAAGCAATGGGCTGCCTGCTCCAACAGAAGTGCACTGCGAAGATCTGAATCCTATTTAAAAGCAAAAAGGAGAATTAGCCTCAGAGTTTAATAAAAAACATAACGATAACAGTGGCCTTGCTTTAATGCTAACAGGAACAGTCAGTTCTAACAGTGCTGTGAAGTTGATGATTCTTTTATATACAAATATTATATGTATAAGTGTGCATATACAAGAAAATAAGACTAAAAGCATTTTTCACTTTGTTACGTGTATGATGTTCAATATGAAACATGCTGGTTTTTTTCTTTTTTTCTCCAGTGGAGAGATTTCTATATCAACCTGTTCCAGTATGAGTGAAAAAGAGTAGTATTTTCTGCTTTTTCTGGTACTCAGGCTAGTTTCTAACACTTATTATCTGTGAAGGACCCTGCTATCTTTTCCCCTCCCTCTCCCTGCAGATATTAGGTCTAGAAACAAAAACTAAGAGCTTTTAACAGGATGAAGGAAAACTAGAGGGAACAATGGAACTTAGTGAATTTGTATTACAAGAACCAGGATTTCTTAATAATGCAGAATTTCTTGCTATTACCCACTTCTCATGCCAAGACACAGCTGTATTACTTTAACCAATCACAACAGACTCTACTTGATTTTACCACAACCGAACTCCATGCTATCAGTGATGTCTAATTATGTGTCTGGACTATAAATATACTCCTGAGACACCTATATATTATCCTGTGAAGATTTTTCTTGCAACTGCCCAAAGGAACCACAAGCATACTACATATAATTTTTAAGTTGTAGAATGATTGTGCGTAGCCCATAGTATTTAAATTTCTTGCTTAATTAACTTCTGCTTACATAAATTTTGGTAGCAAGTTTAAGTTGAAAGGGCAAGAATGAAGCTACAATGTCACTTGAGGGAGAAGCTTCCAGAACTAAGCAAATTTTTTCAATGCTTAATCTGTCCCAGGAAAAGTCTCAGAAGCATCACATTTGGTGCAGCTGGCCACAAAGCCAGAACTAACTGCCAGTTCAACTGTCCTCCAAGTTACACAGAAGATGCTATACTATTACTGGTATTACATTCGTTTCAGTATTTTTCAAGCAAGACACTTTCTGGGGTGTTAGAAGCTAATTCCATGCTTAATTTCCACCAATTAATATTACAGAAGTGTTCAGGCTAGCTTTCACTTCCACAGTGAGATTCTAATGATTCGTAACAGCTGAGCTACAGTAATACCTTCGTTGTTTAAACTACAGAGAACTTCTGATTATATGTGGGATAGTATCCATTATAGCTCTGACAAGCCATGCCAATACTTTTAACCCATGAGGTCAAACTGCAAGTATGTCATACAAGAGCTAAGCAGATGTCAAAGAAAATTAGTTATAAAGCCAAAGATAATAATGGCACATTTAGCATGTTTAAAGAAGTCAAGCAAGTCACTTGACTAAAAAGAAAAACAGTACTAGTTTCTTTACTTGCAGTGTAAATATTTTAGTTCATTTCATGCTTTATACCAGCTCATTTACTACATTTGGCTAGAAAATATCATAAGACGAGAATCAGAACGTAACCCAGAAGTGTTTGGTTAAAGAAACAAACAGGGGGAAGGCAAGAGTGGAAAAAACTACTAAGTGTTTTACCTCACTGGTTAGACGAATCAGAAGAGCAGCTGCCTCTGAATATTTGCTTTGACTTTTTAAGATTTCAGCACTAAGCAGCACACAGCGTTCAGCCAGAACCATGTTCCTAAAGCAAAAACATAAGCGTATTAATATATATTTATTGAACTAAACCATGGAAAACTTTTCACCTCAGATTTCACAAATTTTCACCATATTGCATCAGTCTTACATTGTTCTTTATTGTTAAAAGATATTAAAGTTCATTCCTTGCAAAACCACCACATGTAGATTGACACATTAAGTGTCCTATCCTACTATAACTGCAGCTTTTTAGAAGTCAAAGCCACAGAGCATTTCTGAGGACAGTACTGTATTTATAAAAATGCCAGCTACAAATGACCCAACCTCCTAAATTACCTGATAAATGAGAAGTTCAGCCACCAGAAACAAATTGCACTGGGTTGACTTTAGTGGGTATCAGGTGCCCACCAAACTGTTCTATCACACTCCCTCAGCAAGATGGGGAGAAAAATCAGACTAAAAAGCTCATGTGCTAAGGACAGGGACATCACTCACCCATTACAGTCACAGGCAAAACAGATGTGGTTTGGGGAAGATTAAATTAATTTATTGCCAATTAATAACAGAATAGGATAGTGATAAATGAAAAAAAAAAAAAAACACTAAAACACCTTCCCCTGACTCCTCCTTCCCAGGTTCAACATCATTCCCAACACTTCTACCTCCTCCTCACCCCAAGTGGGGCAGGGAGACAGGGAAAAGCAATTGTGGTCAGTTCATAATATTTCATCTCCACTACTCCTTCCTCCTCATTCTCTTCCCCTACTCTGGCATGGGGTCCCACCCACAGATAACAGCATTGGTCCTTTCCATGGGGTACAGTCCTTCAAGAACAGACTGTTCCAGTGTGGGTTCTCCATGGGTCACAGCTGCTGCCAGAAACCTTATCCGGGCAAAGGCTTTTCACAGGCAGCTGTTTCCTTCAGAGCACATCCACCTTCTCTGGCACTGGGTCCTCCATGGGCTGCAGCGTGCATCCTCTGCTCCATTGCAGTCCTCCATGGACTGCAGGGGGACAAGCTTTTTCACCAGTCTTCTCCACAGGCTGCAGGGAAGCACCTTCTCCCCACCCTTCCTCACCAACCTTGGTGTCTTACAAGGCTGATTCTCTCATTTTCTCACTCCTCTCTCACAGCTGCTGCACAGCAAATTTTACCCTGAAGTATGTTATCACAGAAGCACCACCAGCATTGCTGACAGGCTCAGCTTTGAGCAACAGCAGGACCATTTTAGAGCTGGGTGAAAAGTGGCTCTGTCCAACATGGAGGGGGCAGCTCCTGCTGTCTTCTCACAGAAGCCATCTCTGTAGCTACCACACTACCAAAATCTTAGCAGGTAAATCCAATACAAAAGTTTAATAAGCACTCTGTTAAGAACAGCATAGACCCCCTTCCATGTTATCCTAGATAAACTAACATATCTTACTCTTGACTAAAATATCACAGAATTATGATAATTTTTGCATCTGGCACTATCACTGTGCAGAGGAAGAAAGTTAAACCACCAGGTCTTCCAACTTTCAGTGGGTCAGTATAAAAGTAGGCAACATACTTGCAGATATCTCGATAGGTCTGAATTGCTGTTTCCATATAATGAGCAGGATATGGCCTAGGAGCTCCAGGCTGAAGAAAAGCTGATACTGCTGCCATTTCCTACAAGAGAAATTCTGTACTGTCACTGTAGTTCTTTCAACAAATTGTAAACCTCAAAATGCTAAGGAACACATTTCAACAGCTTCTAGATCAAGATCTTTGTCCAATCAGTTACTAGCATATAAAAGTGTACCCAAGACACTGTAACTGATAAAAGATTTAATACAATAGCCTATTTATGGCTCTACTTGTAATTAATCAGACAGTAGAGAGTTATACACACTCACAGAAGTGTTTTCAGTTGATGGTACCCTTAACATCATGCAGAAGCATTGATTCAGTACTTCTTTGAGTCCAAGAGATAGTTTCCTACTGCAGAAACAATCCTTCTGATAAAGCTGCACTACCATCTATTTTAAGATGGACCGTTTTCTGTTTTGTTTAAATGAAGTTACCTTCTCAGCTTCCAAGGAAATTCTAGTAAACATGCACTCTGAAATTTTATTTCTTTCCTTATGGGGTGAAGGTAGGATAGCACAGTTTTTCTGCAGTAAGTAAAAACTAAGACTTCTAGGTTGCAAAAAAAATCATAATTAAGACCTCTACAAACTGTTCATCAAGAAGCTAAGATAACTTTTTAGATTAACCAAATGCAGAGCAACTGTCTATACTGCAAAAATACACATTTATGTAAAGGTTTTGCATCAAGATGACACAGTGTACAAGAATGCTTCCATAGTTCTACAAAGTTCAGTTTCAAATTTTATCAAATTAACCAAAGTTTACAAAATAGTTTCTAAAAATTGTTAAAACAAGCTTATTTTTCCTCAGTGATTCCATTTATCTTGTTGAAAATTTAGTCACACATACCTTCAGTCTCAAGAGAAATTAATGAATGAGTATGTGTTTACATTGAAGTTCAGCATTGATATACTCAAATTGTATACCTCAAGAGTCTTGACAAAAAAAATGGTACAATACTGTATTTGTAGTGACGTAGTCTTGACTTGCTGGCAAATAAGTATTTTGCCAAAGTCTAAAAGAGATACTATAAAGTTGTTTCACACTTGGTTTTGAGTTATCAGACTACAAGTTTAAAGATCCATTTTGCTGGAGGTTGCGTTCTAGGTATCTAGGCATTCCCTTTCCATATTTTACATTTTAAGAATTAACTCCTCAATTTTTATTCACACCTTTATTCCCTTCATAAAACAGCAGCCATTAGATTTTAGAACACTTTAGGATTTGATAAAGGTATTCACTAAATTTGGCAAGCCCCTTATAAATCTGGAGGTGGAAAGAAGAGATTGCATTTTGTTACCTTCAGACAAATATTAGAGATTATTAGGAAAAGTTCACAGAATGTCTATGTTATGTGAAGTACCAACCAGTGCTCCAGCTGCATAAAGCATTGCCTGATCATTTAAGAAGTCTTTCTTTGCTGTATGGTAACAGCTATATGCAAGTTCATAGTGCTGCACCAAAAAGCACAAGTCTGCCATTTTCCGGATTTGAAGCTCTGGTGCTTCTGGTGGATACCTATAAATACAAATATTTAAATTCAAAGTCATGATTTCAATAAATAGAGCAAGACATGCTCTATAAAGTCGTCCCCTCTCATCTTAATTTCTATTCATAAAGTAGGAATAAAAACTGCATTGCTTCAGCCTTACCCAAAAACACAGGTAAAAGTGAAGCTGCTTTCTTTCTGCCACATGAAACTTGGTTTCACACCCTACTTTCCAATTAACAAGACTCACTGTTCCACTAACATTCAAAGCAAGCATTCCTCATAGCCAAGAAATACTAAAAAAAATATGAGGCTATCACTGAAACTGCTTAATAAGATTGTTAGAGCTAAATAGAGCTATATAAGAAGGTAATAAAATAAGACTTTGAACTGTTCACCTAGGTGTAGTTATTTCTCACCATTTCTCTTGAAAAAAAAAAAATCCTCTAAAAACTATGCCTTATGTGAAAATGCTAGGCAAGTAACCGTCCTCTGCAAGCATCAGTCTAACTTTTGGTTAGTCAAATATACACAAATCATCTCAGTGAAGATCAAATACATTTTCACAACCACTTGTTAGTCAAACTTTGTAAGAAGCAAATGATGCTTAAAAGTTCCATACAGGAAGCTGAAATCAACAATGTTTTGATTACGAATCCAAAGACATACAACATACTAATTTAAAGCTGTAAGTATCAGGGACATTAACTTTGGATAGGTAACGTCCAAGAACTATTTATATGGCTAAGGTAAGACAGTTGAAGAGAACACTTTTCATGATTATACATCCTCATTCATAGAGAGAGATTACAAAGCATACAGAATCAATATTCTGATAAAATTAAAAAACTGGTTTTAGTGTAAAATACATGTGCAAAAAGTATGAAATTCCCCCTAATTTACTTCTCAAGCATACTTGCAAAAGCAGTATCCTTAATACTCAACTGCAGTAAACTACATAGTTATGTAAACAAAACAACCTATACATGGTGTTTGGCTTAAACAAGAAAAGAGCTTGCACTAATCTAAAAAATCCCTCGCCGCAGACCGTAGCTCCTTTTTGTTACTATTACTCTTAAAAATGTACATTTTTTTTAACTTCAAAATCTTCACTGTAAATGTAACAGGAAGATGGCTCTGTAAACAGTTTCTTTTATCACCCTATTCTTTAAGCTCTCCTACTCCTTCATTGTACATGTTTAGGCATAGTACTTTTTATTATTTTTCCAATTAAACTCGTACAATATTGCTGATTTAGTTAATTTTGCAGACTACCAAATAAACACAGACTTCCCCTCCCCAGAAGAGAAGTACAATTTCAGTTTAGATCTAAAGGTAAGGATTGAAATTACTTACAGCAAACCAGAAGTATTCTTCAATTCATTTATACTCTTCTCTGGAACCTTGCTGCCACTAAACCATTTTTTAGTAGCAGAAAACAGCGACCGACTCAAGCCTTTCCTGGATATTAACTGCAAAAAGACACTGAATTAGAGGACTACATTCATTGCAAGAGATGTACTAATATAAGTTAAACTAATATAAAAACACAAGCTTCATTAAGGCTTCCTAAATTCTGTTTTTTCCTTAAAACAAAAATATACAATAAAATAACCAAGAGAACATTCCTTGAGAATGAATCACTAACTGAAACAGAAGTTGTAATCCATATATTTATTCTATTTCAGAGGTTCATTACTGTTGCTATAAACTGCAGACTTCTCAATCCTAAAACCTGAAACATTTGATATATCTGAAATCTAACACAATATCTCATTTCTGTTATTAGTCCAGCCTAAAATCTAGAGTAAGTACACACTTCAAGAGAGAACATTCTCCCCACCACTACCCACATAAAACTTTACCACATTGTGAACACTCATTTCAAGCGTCAAGGGTACTAGTCATACCTGCAAGCAAGGCTACACAACTTTATTCTTTTAGATAATTTCCACTAACAAGGCAACTTCCAGAGGGAACTACCATTCCCAAGATCTAAGGGAAACTACATCTCTTTTTAAAGATAATTTTTAAAATTGTAGCATCATGCTTTTCTTACCATGACTAGGAATGTATTACTACATTTCTAATGGTAAGGCTGTTTGCTACTAAGTATGCACTTTTTTCATGTTTCTTCATAAAATTTTCCAAATGTAATCACAGTTGGCATATGCAAACTCCCAAAGTCAATTCAGGGAGGGTTCCTTACAACATACGATATTTAATATCAAACCCCCTCAATACTTAAAACTATAGCCTGAACAGACAATTCAGTCAAAATACAGAGTTCAGATAACAGACTGATATTCAGGTCCAAGTCTAATGCTAAATACAGTAATTGTATTGTACTGCTGTAAGTCAATCCATCTCCAGCTGTTTAAGACCATGTGAAACACTAAAAGAAAGGTCCTTACTATGATGGAAAGAACTTTAATGCATGTCCTTGGCTTAACATGGGCCAAAAAAAAATCCTAGTTTGGGAGAAGACTATTCAGTTGCAAAAACTGCTGAGGCTAAACCAGAATTGCATGATTTAGGTTATCCATGCATTTTTCCCCATGTCAAGAAGCAGCAATTTAAGTATGCAGCTTTTCTGCAGACAATTATTGATGAAAATACATTTCTTAACTTTAGTTATATGTTCTAATGTTGAAACACAAAAAGGATATTTTGTTCCCCATGCCACAACCATCCAGAAGTATAAAATGTTAAGATTTTAGGAGCAAGGACAGATATCCCTGATAACAGTTCAGACAGGCTTTCACCATGAAGCCACCTTGCACTGAAGCGCTGTTGATACAAATTGGTTTTTTTAAGACAAATCGAGTATGGTAACTTCAGTTATTTCTTTTAAATTTATAGGTTTTAATAAGATCATTGAATCATTAGATGCAAAAGGAAGTAATAATTTCAAAACAGATTTTTGGTTAACTGGATTTATACCCCAACTGTTTTTTCTTATTACGGCACATTTAAGAGTAAACTGACCTGATCATTAAGTTGCCGAATTGTCTTCTCTATATGTGGCAAAAGTCCCCTAAATGTGAATTCCTGTATGAACTGTCTAATTCGATCGTGATCTGTGAGTGTTAAACAAGCACCATGAGGTGTTCCAGAATTTGATTTCTTTGAGTCTTGCAATGATGCAGTAGCCTTCACGTAATCAGTGCTATCCAAACTGCCGCTGGGATGATCCAGTTGAAGGGGGTGAGTCTTAAAGTTATTTGACAGGCCATCTATTGAAAGATTGAAACAAAAACCCCAGTAAGTATAAAATTTTGGGTTTTAGACATCGTTTTTATTAACCTATTTTAAAAGTTCCCTTTACTTAGAACTCTGTTAAGCAAAGCTATTCACCAATTATTTTGCACTACAGATCAATGCCGAGCAAACAGCAGCAGAGCACTGTCTGAGTATTACAGCACTTCTGAAATTCTTCAGAAGACTCAGAGAATCTCAGGAACTACAGTGTGGCTAAATATGTATGTTTTTGTTTCTCAGTTACAGTGCAAAGAATCCCCAAGTATGCTGACTAGTATCAACAGCAGTTAAGGAAAATTATGAAAACATTAAAATCAAATATTCACTCAAAATTCAAAAATCAAATATTCAATAAAAGTTGAAAATGTGGCAATTACTACAATGGCTTTATTGGATCCATTCACTCTTCTGTTTGTTTTAAGGTTAAAAAAACCAAATTAATTTTCCATGACCTTCCAAGCAATCATGACATAAAACCACCTCCTCTGGAGTCCTCTTAGTTCAGCAAGAAGGGCTGCTGACCACTACTGCACCTAGCTATCCCCAACCAAGACACCATTTTACTGAAAGACTTAAATAGTTCTCTTATATAGAAAGGAAATAAGAGAATTAGCATGCTTTATCTGGCCCTAGCTACCACTGAGATGTGAAAGCAAATCCTTGATGGACTTTACTCAGGAAATGTAAAGCTGGGGATGTGAAGTTCAAACAGCAGCCTGCAGGATACATCTGGGCTGTAAGGCCCTAGAAAGATGCTCTGTTAGGCAACTGCAGGCTCTCCTACAAACACTAGGTCTCCCTGTGCCTTTCAAGTCAGGTAGGAAGGATCTGGGCTGAGTCAGGCCAGCCAGTGTGGAGTTACCTCCACTTCTTCCTCATGTGATGATGCTTCTCATCTGAATCCTACACAGCTGCCTTAAAAAAAAGAAAGAATTTAAAATGCCATGCATTAATTTGCACTCAGTTTCATTTACTGTCCTCTGCCGTGTACAAGCTCAACTGCAAGGCAAGTTCCTCCAGACAACAGACTCTGTAAGTCATTACTCTGTCTTTTCCAGATTTAAAACTAAAAACAAGGAAGAAAAAAACCCTCAGCTTCTAAGCTACAAAGCACACAAACCAGAATTTTTATTATGATGAAAATTAAACATTTAATCCTATGTTACTTTTCATCAGTTGTCACAGTCTGCAGACAGTACGTTTAATCTTACAAAAGATGAGCCCAATACATCAACAGCCATTTCATTAAAGATACATCTACCAATTACCACCAATCCAGTAGATCAGCATTTTTCTTTGTGGACAGCAGGTTACAATACTTTTGAGCGTTTAGAAAATTATTACTTTGAATTCCCTAACCAATCACTCAAGTGATTACTTTCCAAGACATGATACAGCTGTATAAACACTATCACATCAATGTTTTGCTAGAAGTTATAGAAATACCTTTCATTTCACTGTCTAAGCCATCTGATATCAAGTGATCAGTATTCTTGTTTGAAATGACAGTATAAGGACAATCTTCATAGCAATCCTGCCAGAAGAAAAAAAAATAGTGAGAATTTTAAGAATACTACAGCACACAAAGTCAGTCAACAGTAGTTAACTTTAATAACAGTTAACAATTATTAAGAAAGCATGTTTGTTCATATATTCATTTCTGAAGTAGTTTGCAAGGCTTTAAGAACTTGTCCTATTGCAGAGATGAAAGTCATATTCACCAAATGAAGCAAGTATCTTCTGACTTGCTCAAGTACCTTCACTGTCAACTAAAGCAAGCAACTCCAACTCTTACACTGCAATGGCTACAGCAGTGAAAATATGCTCCCTAAAGCAATTCCCAAACAAGCATGTACAAAAAAAAAATATCATCCCTGTTGGACAGTTGACGTGGGGTAGAAAAAGGAAAAGATCTAATTAGTTTATGGTACAACATTACTTACTGGTCCTCTTAGCTTACAGAATATAAGATGTTTTGACTTTCCAAGTGCCAGCTAGATTTGGGAAAGAACTATGATTTCACAAACAAACTGTTTAATCAGATGCAATTAGAACTGCAGGTCAGTCACAAGCAAACCCAAGAAGGAATTTTTTCGGTCCTTAAGCCAAAAATACAGACATTTATGGCAAATTGAACTCAAGCTAACACACACTATAATTTGCCCTCTTAGCAGATGACAGACTAGACTGGACTGCAAGAAGTTACCAGAAAAACCACAGATACCTTTTGTCAGTGCATAAATCACAAGCCTATTATTTCAGTGCTCCTTACTGTCCATTTAAGTAGCACAGAGCACAGTTCTTTGAGAGGAGACTTACGTCCCCACAAAAAGTCATAGCTATGTTAGAAATATCTTGACTGCCTATTAACCCATTCTGTCAAACACATAGTATTAAGGCAGAATTTAACACAACTAAACTAGGCCTTCATATACACCTCATATCGGTTTTAGAACACTATAATACCTGGTTCTGGATAGTGTTTTTCTGAAGATACTGACTCCAAGGATCTGGTATCTGTTCATCTGTTCCTCTATTAGACACCCGAGAATTTATTTTCAGCAAATAGCAACCCTGAGTTCCATACCTCTGCTTCATTTCTTCATAAATGGAGTCAGCTCTGAAAAAGTAAAACAACATTTACCCTGTCTTGACATCAAATTGTTGGTATCAGTTCTATTCTAAGTGTGTACTGCAACAAGCTATTTTAGACTATTACCCATAGGGATTAAAAGGAAAACTCTCCTATTTTTAAAGCAGTCATTTATGGAAGAGAGAAACTGAGAATCCTTGAAAATTAGTTCAGCCAGCTAGCAAAGCAAGCATCTACCTCAAGAAGCTAAGACTGATTTTTTTTTTCGTTTTATATGAACAAGAAGTAGATCTAAAAATAATACTTAATGAAATCTGCCTTAATAATAGCGTATTAGTTAATGGATCCTGTTTTATGTCTAATCTCAACAGAATTTATAAATGCAAACATTTCAGTCAAAGAGTTCATCTGTAAATTCACTGAAGGCAGAAGACCCACCTTTGTTCTTCTCCTGTGCTTACATCATGCAGTAACACATAGTATTTGAGCGTGTTTGGTATAAACCACTTGGGATACAAGTATTCACTACTATGCTGAATTCGATGTTGTTCTTGAGACAGCTTCAGAAATTGCTCCACAGGCTCTGGTTCACTAGAAGAAACTACAAGCATACCTAAATTCATGTTAAGGACATTTCCCAAAAGAACCCAGGAAGAGCCACTGATCATATAATAAAATAGGAAGCATATAAAATAAGATAGGTAAGTACAATGTTTAAGCCTGTAAAACGCACTATCACACAGGTATGTGCAATTAGAATTTGGCTTTAGTATCCAAAGAAAACCACACTATTTGAACAGTCAGTTAACTAACATGTGTAACATGAGATGAAACAGGAGTTTGCTCCAATTCTGACACTGAACCCAAGTTTAAGCCAATACATAATAGCTGATAGCTCATTTAAGATTTTAGGTACAGCCTAACTGGTCACATATGAAACATAACTGAAATTGACCCCCAGTGTACTTTTGTTTTCAAATTCCAATGAGAGTTGGGACTTTAAAGTATCACATGAGCAACAATAATGGACAGTATTCATAAACCTAGTAACATCTTCTGAGTAAAAAGCAGAAATGTTCTGATTTTTACCTTAATGCAACTACACAATCATTAATAAGGAACATCCTGCTCTGCTACATCTATACAAAGACATTCATTCAGAGAAGCCAGAAAACAAGTTGTACTTTAAATGTTACTAAAATTCAGAAGTCAAAGGCCAGAATCAATATTTTGACAAGTTAATTCTGCACAAATGGTGTTCTCTAATGGCTACTAACATACCTGTTCTACCATACTGAAACGATAAAGTACAGTAAAGAATCAGGAACAGAGCAGGTGTTATAAAACCTGCAACATCATAATTATTGTAAAACTAAACACCAGCTACATCATGAAACAATGCATATTTTTATTTTTCTCTGTAGAGAAGCAAATCGGACCTAAGTTTAGATTTAAAAAAAAAAAAAAATCTGAAAGCATTTAGGCATCTTCCCAGTCTTCTTTTTGTCCAAAATAGCTCAAAGTTCACCAATTTTCCAAAACACCCTCCCCAACCTCCTCCTTCCATCTGCTAGAAAAAGCTATAAAAAGCAGCAGGTGCATCCAAACACACAAGCCTCTGTTGTACATAAGAGACAGTCAACAGATACCTATAGAACTACAGCAGAAAATGTTTTAGGATGAGGAAGTTTAGTGTACAGGTAGGTATTAGCTCAGAGTTCAGTCTGATACATAAAAAGTGTGATTTAAAAAAAATAAAAAACACTAACCCCAAAGAAAACCCTGACATCCCTTACGAAATCAGACTGTATAGTTAGACATATTGAAAAAAAGATATCTTTCAAATCATAATGGCAGAAAGTTACTGCAAAATTTCAAAGTCTCCTACATTACATTTCTGTAGCCAGCTGTAACAGCCTTCAGTAGAGGGGTCTCTAACACTCAAAGGATACATGCAACATAGTGGTTTAAGAATTCATGATCTGATGCAGGCATGGACTGAAGAAAGCACTCTCTGTAAGACTCAAACCAAGGAGTAGTAGCTGGAATATACAATAAGACAGGATGAATTAGAATATTCAGCAAAACTTCTGTTTATTCATTTATGTAAAGGAAATATGAAAGACTACACCTAAAAGTGAAACTTGCAAACTCTAACAGGGTTTGCATGGCAGGGGGAAGAAGGGGGAACAGTCTAAGGAGAAAGCATCTAAAATACACATAAGAGGCAGAAACAGAAACATTCAATCAAATCCAGTGAGACTGAAGAGTATCTTGAGCACCAGCTTCTTCAATATTGTAGGCTCACATGTATCCAGTCCTTGTTAGAGTAACTACTCTTTACCACCCCTTTAAACACACACACATACACTTGGAAAAGAAGAAAAAAACAAAAAAATCTAACAGTTACTGAATTTATCTCAGCTAGGGATGTAAGAATTGACTGAGAAGCAAAACTAATTTGAGCATGTAGAAGAACCAAGGATTACCAAAACCCTATAATGCCAGTTTGTTTAAAGCTTCTTGCAAGTGTTATGACTTGGCTTGACAGTTGTCTCCTTTCTCTGCCCTGCTAAAACAAACAGCTCAGCTGTCAGCTGGCAGAGATCCAAAAAGCTGGAAGCTCAGATCCAAGTTGTGCCACTGATGTGGCACATTAATGTGCCTTATAATGTTAACCTGCCATGCTCAAATGCCCTTTTACAACAAGGATTTCATTTTTCCAAGAACAACAAATCAAGAGAAACCAAGTATGTCTGGGTCATCCAAAGAACATGTGAACTTAAAAATCTTATCTGTTTCTTTCCACCCTAACTATCAGATGAGCAATGAAGTATTATTTCTTCTTTCAAACCATCTCAATTCTGCAGCTCCTTCCCTTGAGTGGAAAAAAAGACCTCAGAGCAAAATCAGTCTGCTTCCAATAACCTGATTTCACACTGAAGTTAGCCAGAATCCAGTGTAAAGTCACCTGAAGACTGAATAATAACTAATATAGAAAAAAAAAAAAATGCATTAATATAAATACCTTCAGGATTTCTTTTTCGTTATATGGCCAAGAAAACACATTCTTTGATTTAACTTGCATCAAAATTTCTAATGCTTTATAAACCTCCCCCACTCCCCACCCAAAAAAAGACCACCACTGCGATTTCTTAGCTGTCTTTAGGAAACTGTTTTGTTTTTATGTTGGAATTATCTTCTAGTGCATTAAGTTAATGCATTTTGTTTAATCCTACATTGTCAGGCCATCTTACATCCGCTTCATCCACAGAGAAGTCAGATATAGCCACACTTCATAACTGAACTTAGTCTATCAACCAGGCCATCTCACAAAAAAAAAAAAAAAAAAAAAAAAAAAAAAAAAAAAAAAAATCAACAGGAGGCAAACTTTTAGCTTTTGATTACAGCCTTTCTAGCAACTGCTCTGAGCACTCTGGTAGGGTATAAAAAGCTCTTGGCTTTACTAAGTCCTACATGTAAACATGCCAACTATTTAAACTACGGAAAACATAGGTTGTTATTAAAAACAAAGCATGAGAAAGTGACTCTCATGGATATTTTTCACAAGTATAACAGTCTTGTAGTTCAAGCCAAACAAAGCTCAACTAAAGACAGAAATTTCAACCACATTTTAGTTTCAAGCTCTGTTTTCAGTTTTCCATTTCTGTTTTACAGCTGAACCATGGCAAAAAAAAAAAAAGTTCTTTAAAATCTGACACAGCTACAAACAGGAAAGTACTACCATGTTTTGAGTGGTGGTTCCATCCCCTCCTGCTTCTCATTCAGCCTATGAAGAACCTTGGAAGTGGTTACAAAGGCAACTGGATTCCCTCTACACAACCACAATATACATTAACAGTATTCACTCAAGAGCATTTACAGGGATGTAATCATTTATCATAGATACTTAAAATAAACCTGCACCATATTCAAAACAAAAACAGTATTTGTAAATATTTTCACAGATGTAATATCTTATAATACATAACAGCGCATAGCAACACTGTCATTTAAGTAGACAGACCTGTATGTTTTGCATTTTTCCAGCAATATCTTCCCAGTATACTAAACAAATAGAACTGAAGTTTAGACAAACTTGTTAATGCATTCAGAAATCATTAAGAAAAAAGCTGGTAATATTCATACATAAAAACCTAACTATGAGACATGTATTTCATGAAGTTTTGTACTTTTTAGCTATCTAGCTAAGATGAGTTTCACAGATACCAGTACTCTAGCACATTCAGAAATGAAGGCATTTAGCAGCATCTGAACAGACACTATTGAAAGGATAGCTCTTACTAACCAAAGGCATAAACGTTAATATCTAAAACTGAAAGACATCAAAAGTTGCCACTTCTAGACCACAACACAGAGGTTCAGTGTAAGTTGAGGGCAATAACCAATGTGTTTGGGAAGTTGGGTTGTTGTTTTTTGGGGGTTGGGTTGTTTTTTGTTTTGGTTTTTTTTTGAAGAGAGTAATACTCTAGAAAGCATGTCAATATAGCAGAGGCACATGTGCTCTAAGTACAGTCAGCACTTTAGTTACAATTTGAAAAGCACTACTACCCCCAGAGAAGGAAGCTCTATAGATGAGCAGAAAGTATTTACATTTGAAATACAGAACAGTGACAATATACAGTTCCATAGGATCAAACAAGACAGTACTTTCATAGAATCAGGTCATTTCCCACCACCACTCTGCATTTATTGACTGTATGGAAAGACCAAATGACTTAGATTAACAGGAGGAGAAATGTGACTAAAAGAAAAATTAAACAACCATCACCAACGATTTTTCATTTAGGGCGAAAAAATGGAGGAACACACATCTACGCCAAGAGAAGTGCTAAACAGTTGTAGCAGATGGTAAGGAAAGGTGGATGGGGCACATGGAAAAGGAATAAAGGGCAATTTGGCAAATTGGCACCAACCACAAAAAAATACCTGAATAAAACGTGGATGTGTTCAGTTCCATCAGTGTCTCTTTCCAATTACTGTACCAAGGAACACTAGCTTTAACTGAGCGATCTGATAGAAAAAACATGATATTATTATACTAAAAAGGGTCAGGTGCAAACACACTATTGGCTTTTATGAGCTGGTAGCATGAAGTATAAAATCTATACCATGCAGGCCCATCAGGGACTGAAGACATCTGATTTCAGCTAACCTTAATCACGAACATTTCAGGCTCCTCAATATTTGACAGTGTACTTTAATAGAATTCAACATTAATTTCTAGTGCAGCCCAAATTCAGGGCTTGAATAAAAATGGAAATCTATAAAGTAGTAAAGAATTAAGTTATACTTGGATATTATTTCTATTTTTCTAGTTAGAAGATACTGTATACATAAGATACTAATTGCTAAGTTCTCAGCCTGTAGTACTACAGTTCAAGTAACTGAAGATGTTAGCTGCTGAAAGTGGTTGCCCCAACATTCTCCCTCATCTCCATCATATTTCTGCATTGCTGCATGCCAGCATTAGCAACATGCAGCCCTGAACAAACACAGCCAGGGAAGTGATCCAGATGAAAACTTATTTAAGAGAGGAAAAAAAAAAAAAGTCTTTGGTGGGATCACTTTTCCTCACTCTCCACATGCACCAGGACATGGGTGAAGGCGGCATGGCTGAACTAAGCACCATTTCCGCAATCAACCAGGCCTATCAGCACAAGAAGATTAGGGAACTATGCAAATATTAAACAAGTGTAACAAAGAAGGATTACACAAAATTAAACCAATTCACCACAGTGGTTCCAAAACTTCTCCAAAAAAAGACCACGATCATGATCCCAGTGCCGGAAACACTGATATATGAGCTTCTTAAACAATGTCTCTTCCTTCAAAATAGACTGCACTTGATCACCATTAAAGATTAAGGAAGTATGTTTTAATATTGCTATCCTAGAAAACTAATTCACCAAAAGAGGAAATTAAAACCCAGATTAGAGTATTTCACATTTCTGTGCCAAAAGATTTTGTTGCCAGGAATTAATGCTTCCATTGGTTTTCAATAAAATGCTCTAACAAAGTTGAAAAAAAAAATAAGTTTCTTAGTAAATATTCATAGTTTTCTAAGTAGAACAGAAACTCTACCTGAAAAGCTAGGGACTTCCTCACATCTTCCTACAATGTAATGGGATCCAAGTTTCATCATCAAGAACATTATGTCATTGTTTTGTGCTAAAGCCCTAAAACGGGGTACCACAAAACTAAAGTTCTTACATTATTTTGTCCTTCTGTATGATCTTAAAGAGCTTATACATCTCTCCTTCTGTCAAATAAGCATATAGCCAGTCTGAATGAAAGTAAGAACCTAATCACTGAGAGACAGAAGATAAAGTATGATAATTTACATATCTGAGGCTTGAGCAGCAAATAAGGAAAACTAAAGGAGAGTTATTTGCTTCTACAACTAAGAAGCATGACTTGACATAGCCACTATTTTTATTCCCTTCTTCCAATACCTCACTTCTAAACTGAGATCATTGGAAATGTTATTGAAAAGTCTCTTCAATAAAACCATTCTGCTTTCTTAGAGTCTTCCAATCTCTAGAATTGAAGCAGACTTTCCCTCAAAAAAAAAATTCACAAAAACATGGCAATTCACCAATTTCACAGATAAACGAGGGCATAGAAACTGAAGAAGGGTGCAGCTTCCAATAGCTCTCAAAAATTACAACTTCCAGGCTCAAGTCTTTTCATTTGTTATCAATATTTCATATCAAGTTGAGGATGTGGCTTGTAAATTAGGTATCAAATATGTAGAATTACATAATTTTTCATCATCAACATAAAAATGTACTACAACAGCATCAGTTACTAATCCTCCTGAAGTTTCTTCAGTCTTCTGCTATAGCAAAGCCAAATTCCTCACTGCATGCTGAACTTTAAGTACAATAAACTACTCATGTCTAAATAGGGCAATGCATACATGCTTTGAATTAAGTATGTATCAAAGGCTTTAATGGATTAGGGTCTTAATTGGGAGGAGTCTAATCTCAGCTCTCAAGATCAGGTCTCATTTAGTATTATTCACAATACCTTATCCCTTGGAGATCTGAAAAAGCATTTTTTGAATATTCTAGCCATTTTGACAGTGAAATATGAAGCACTGAGTTTCATGGAAAAAAAAAAAAACAAAAAAAAAAAACAAGACAAGGAATCACACTTTTCCTCAAAACCTTTTTTCCTCAAAGTTTTTGACAGCTTTATGAACTCTATGCATTAAACTATAAGTAAAAAGAAAAACAAAAGAAGCCAGTAGGACTTACTTCAACAAAAGCTGTACATTAGTACTTACATTATAAACAAGTTCTCATATTTATTCAACCAAGTGTAACAAGTCAGTATATCAGTTTTGTTACAAGAAAACCTCTCATCTGATGAGCTATTAACACAACCAAAGCATGAGTATTTTCTACATTAAAATATGACTTAACACAAGGTCAGAAGAATTACAAGATTAGGAAACATTAAATTAAGAATTATTAATTATGTTCAACCACTTTTTCAGCATCGGATAAAACCAAAACTATTTGATAAATCTGAAGTTTCAGTAAAAACAATTACTTAAAACTGATCAACTCCGAGTAATTTTAATACATGTCATGAACTTGAAATTATGGTTAGAAACCTTACAGTAAATTCCAATTTAATTTACAAAAAGTACAGTATCATTACATACCACTAATGTTGAGATCATAATCTCCAGCTGTGATCACATTAGCTACTAGTCCTTCAGCAGGCTGACTGACAGACACAACATCATTCAAAAGTTTTCGAATGGCACCAGGCTGAGGTGGGTGAGTAATAATGTTGTTGACAGCAATCTTCAAATTTTTAATTATGTGAAGCTGATTATTAGGATCTCTCATGTGAACTAAAAAAAGAAAAAACAGGCTTTGTTGAGGAATATAACAGTTAAAATAGTTACCATAAATTAGCCTTTCTCCAACAGATTTTTCTTTTTCTTTAATGATTACTTTCTTCACTAAACCTCTCCATTATAAATTTTAGATCACAGTCCATAATACTTGAGTTTCAAAAATGGAGTGGGGGGAAAGTAAGAAAGAAAAATTACCACATGGTCAACATTAGGCTCATCTAGGCAGAGTGATGAAGACATGGCATAGGATCTTAGCTTATGAGCTTATAAACTTTGTTACTCAGAGTAACCAAGTACTCAAAACCCATGCCCTCCACTACAGCACCTCCTCCCTTGTGGAACGTACACAACTTGCACAGAAAGCCTATGGTAACCACATACAGATTTCACATAACACCTCATGTTCCAAGGAGTTACCAGTTTCCAAGAAAATCCCAATACATAACAGAATTCAAGAAACTGGACAGGGATAGCATAGTATTAGTTCATCCAAAACAAACATATCCTTTAATTTTTAATACTACAGTGTGATTATCTTAAGTTTGCTTTGTTTTTTTAAAAAATAAATAGTTTTACAACTCCCCTGTTCTCCAAATGGCATCACAGAACTCATCTTAAAAGAAATGAAGTTAATTTATTGAGTGACAAAATTTTGGTGAAAATCGATCAATTAAAAATAGTCAATGTCAGTATCACCAGAATTCCTGATTCACTTTTAAACGTTGGTTTAAAAACTAGAGTCTTATGACTAATAAATACTGATCTCAGGATTATGCATGAAAGTTATGCAATAGTTCTTTATGGCATACAGCCTGAAAAAAAAAAATCCCAACAGTGCAGTAAAAGCATCCACAGATCTAGTATTTATGACAAAACTACAAACAGATGGCAAGCATGTACGTTATTGGTGTGGAGAAGCTGCTCAATTAGAAAAAGTGAACTGTTACCAATGAAAATAATATTACAAAAAAGAAACAGATTCATTATTAAAATGAACTTTTAAAAGGGTGATAGCAGCCTTATGTTATTAACACACAGTAACTTATGCTGGTTTGGCTCTGTGTTACTTTTCCAGAAAATATTTTCCTCCCATTAAATCCAACTTCTTTAAGAAAGCCATCAAAGAGTGTCCCAAGCCCATGCAGAAGCATCAACACCAAACCTAAAGAACAAGGCAGCAGCAAAGTCCAGCAAGATGATTAATGAACAATGGTATTTAACTTAAAGTTCAAGTTGAAATTCCATATATCTGTGACAGCTGTAAAGTCGGGTGTCTTTATTCTCTATAGGTTTTAAAAAATAGCATCACATGCAACTTTCACTTTTTCCTTTCATGACATATGATTGTTTTTATTTCCTAAATTCCTGGGTTTGCTTTGCTTTAGTTTTTTTATTGTTTTACAAGAAAAGTCTCAGTCTCCTGAAAAGCAAAAAAATATTAATCAGAAGAAAACTAAGGGGTTTTTTTTACACTTATGTGTACTGGCCCACATTTCTACTTAAAGTCTAGCTTTGTGATCTTTTCACTACAGTTTGATTGGGCTGCCATCTCTTTTGTATCTTACAAAGTTACATTTTACCATGAGCAATAATTTGAGTTTCACCCAACTCATAAATCCAGAGCTGCCTTTGTAGCATCTTTGTGCAACTTGCTCCCTCAAGCCATCTGTTTTTAAAAAAATATTCGTGACATTTTCAACAGACATTACAATTCTGGGTCTGCTCTAATTTTCATGTCATTTTCCCTATTTCAAACCCCAACCCAAACAAGCCAGCCAGCCAAAGTGCAGGCAGGGCACACTGAGTAACACTACCTTAGACACCTGGTGCTAACATGTGCAGCCATCAGCTTTGCAAATCATTTTCACAAACAATTGTATAGCATATAAAGGCTAGCACAAAGAAAAATTCTTGATGTTCTCCTTGTCTTGCAACCAACCACAAAATTCACACCATGAAGGTCTGAAACCCTCCTGCACAGCACACCGCACCTCTTTCACAAGCCTTTTCAGAAGAAACAATTTACACAGCCTGATCTAGATCACACCAGATGCACATTTACAGTCCATCTTAGCTGATAAAGAAGATTTCTATTGAACTCCAAGCCTGGAGTGGCATAGTTCTGCCCTCCTAAGCCACACATTTCACTCCCAACCTTTAGCTAGCACTGAAGCTCATGAGAAAACACAGTGAAGCAGTCTAGAGAATTGATCCTGCCCAAAATAACCTAAAAATCTGTGGGTTTTTTCAGCTATAAGTTTCAGATTGAACAGGTTCATCATTAGGCTGTATCAACACAGAGAGAGGCAACTGTGATGGCTAAACTAAATTCATACAGTTCAGCATTTCTTTTGGAAAATTGAAGAGGCAGAAATTTTTTCTTTCCATCTTATCTTGTAGGTAAATTATCAACTCTACTGCCACATGATTACTGAAAAGATGATATATAAAGCAAGTGGAAGCAACAAGCAACTAGCTGCCTTTACCAGTGCAGCTATAACACTAAAATTCATCCTTGCCATCTCTTGTAAAATATAACAGCCTTAATAATGAAGTGCAAACACATTTCCATACAGGACATAGATGACATTTCTGGCATATGTGCAATACTAAGGACTGACATAAAGGACATACTTCAGACCCCACAAAGCTCTTGCCTTAATCCCTAATAAAAAAAGTCAGCATTATACATTTCCTTTAAGTGTACATAAGATCATTTCAGAAAGTATTTTGTCAAAAGTGGTAGTAACAACACATATTAGAACAAGATCTTCCTCATCAGAAGCTGAAAACATTCAGATGTTGACTAAAATACTCATGAACAAGGAATTCTTAACATCAAAATAGAACATCTTATCAAATAAATGCAATGTTCCCATTATACCTCCTTACTTCCAGCACATATTTAAAGCGGAAGTTGATGAGAACTTTAATACTCATTAGTGCAGAGCCCCCCCACCCATCTACATTATGTATGTTTCTGGGGTTCTACTTGAAATTATATCTAATCTGGTCCGCTTGGACTAAGCAACCACAAGAAGTATATGGCATAAGACTACTTTAAGAATCAAGCAGGGGTCTGGGCCTTCACATCTCTGTTAATGCCTGAAGGACAACTGGAACATGCACAGTAGAAAGCTCAGCTTAGTTTCTGTTTATTAAAACTGTTTTGCACATAAATCAGGAGATTCATTTCATAACTGCATTGCTTCTCTAAGTGAAAACACTAATGAACACGCGGCCTTCAGCAGGTTCGTAAACTACGTAAATCCTAAACTTCAGACAAAAATCTATATTGTAACAGGACTCTAAAAAAATGCAGTAGCAAACCAAAGCCTGAGCTCTTCAAATTATAAAATTCAGTAATGCATGTACTTTTAAGTTTTGCACAAGGGACAGCTTATTTCTAAAGAGATGAAATTCTAGACAACCCAATTTTACATTACAAAATAAATAGCCACTAAGTAAAGACAGGAGTATTAATAAAAAAGGACAGCATTTCATGCTTCCTTAAGAAAAGCTGTGCTTAAAAGTGAAGATGTCAAAACAATCCTAATCTGTGAAACACAGTTGTGAAGGCATGTGCATGTACCCACATTCTGCTGTACCCGGATCAGATCACTAATCATGCCTCTCTTCCTCTTAATTAGTCATGAAAAGAACCATGGAGAAATTTTACTGCTAAGTCTGGTCAAACCTATTAAGGTAGAGCAATTTAAGAACTTATCCTATATTTCCAGGTCTTGTGCACAGGATGCAGTTAACAGCATCACTATACAACAATGCTTGTGCAGACTCCAACAAGCATGTTTCCCTGTCAGAGCTCCACAAATTCCAGAGCTAGAGAAATTCTTTACCGTTATACAAACTAATGAGAAATTTTATTGCACTTAACAACTCTCCTGCCTGAAGAAAATGCCTAGGACTGCTTTCTCTAGACTCACGCATACAGGCTTTCACAAGAAGTTACATTTAGCATGCAGTAACATTTTTTCCATGAAGCTAGGAAAAGGAAGTCACACTCAGAGTGAAGAACTGCAGTCAGGCTTGCGGCCTGCTGAATCAGAATACACAGAGAGTAGCGCAGCAACAAAACCCACTGTACCAAGCTTCAGCTTCTTGGTTCTCTGACCCTCAGGTCAGGTTCTGAACAGGATGGTTCAGGCTGCCGACGTAAACGCAGCCTACACAGAACAGCAACGATGCCCCTTCTCAGAGATTCATCACAATAGCTGCTGCTGCAAAATTGGGAAGTGAAAACTGTATCACATTTATTTATACTATTACATGACAGAGCTTGCAGAAGTCCAGTTACAGAAACATCAAGAATTACTACAAAACTATGAAAATCAAACAATGGTGCCTTCTTTCACAAGTTTTTAAAAGAATGCAGAAATCAAGTCAGTATCAGTCTCTCAAGTATTAAGCTCAAAGTCTTATATTATGTCAAGGAAGAAAGTCTAATCTTTAGCCATAACTCCTTTATTAAAGGAGGGTGAAAACTAGTTTAGTTTATAAGCATCAACATAGTAGAGATCTGCATTTACACATGGAACACTGAGGATGATTCAGGTTTGCAAGTTCCTTAACTGTTACAATAGTCAGAACAAAAAATAGTTACAACATAGCAACAACAGAATTAAGAGTTCTTCAGAGTGAATGCTTCATTCTGAATAACCAGCCTGGTTTTCCTTGCTAGGTGCATTTTGAAATTCTTTCACCAGAGAACCCAAAGAGGTATTTAAGCAACTTCAGAACTCCAAGGATGTGAGCTTCTGCATTTAGCATTTCTCTCAGCTGCATTCTCACATAGATCACGAGTGTTGCTAAACGAAGGGAAAACGTTTATAAACGACTTATGGTTAATAAATTATTAAGACTTACCACAGAATTAAGGCATATTTTTAACACATACTAGCTTCTAAATTGGTGCAATGCAAAAATTGAGCTCAAGTGACAGTACTAGCTTCCTTTTCTTGCAGTTTCTTCAACACATGACATGAGGAGACTGAAGTCTGAGCTACGCATCTGTCAAAAACCACATCTGACAAATGTCATTGCATGTCTATTCTGATGAGCAGTTCTATTCCAATTGCTGTCCTGCATACTGTTCTAATGAGCAGTGGCTTGAAAAAGCATAGTTTTGTTAAAAAAAAAAAAAATAATCCAGATAGTAAATCAAAGCATTACAGTAAAGGAATCCTACTGTTTCCCTTAAGTGGTCAATTTCCAGTTTTGCTGCTACTTTACACTGTCATTTCACCTATGCCATAAAACCAACTTAATTCCCACCTTCTCTTGGCACAGGTCTTACTCGCAGAAACACCAACAAAAAAGTATATATACATAATAAAACTACATGTGAGAGAAAGTAAAGTCTCACAACTGAAACAACAATTAATGTCTCCGAAAGACCGACAGCACTTTCAACGACTAAGTACTTTACTAACAGCCTTCCCACGAGCGTGAAAGCCAAGATCTACAGCAAGAGTCGGCTACAAGTATTGACCAGATACAGTAAAGTCGTTGTAAAGAAAGAAAAATAAACGCTTTGGAAGAGCTACATTTACAGGCGCCTTTCTTTTCAGCCGCGTGCTCTCCGAGGTCTCCAGGCAAAGCCTAACTCCCAAGGCTCCCCAGAGATCGCATAAAACCAAACAGACCGAAGAGCCACCCGGGGCAGCCCCGGCGAAGGCGGTGCCTCCGCGAAGCCCGTCGCCGCTCCGGGCAACACCCGACCGAGCGGCCGCCGCCGCGGTACCGGCCGAGGGGTCTCGGCTCCCGCCTCCGCTCGGGCCCCGGCGGGACCCCCCCCAGCCCCCGGGCGAAAGGGGGGAGCGGCGGGGGCGGCGCCGCCTTCCCCGCCCCGCGTGTAAACAAGCCGCGCTCCCCGCTCCGCTCCCGGCACCGACCTTCCGAGGTGAGGCGGCAGAAGGGCTTCACCAGCTCGGCGAAGCTCAGGCTGTTTTTGCGGGTGAGCCGCTCCGCCTCCTCGCTGCACAGCGCGGCCACCAAGGGCACGAACGAGTCCTGGATGAACTCCTGCACCGACTGCACGCACTGGGCCATCGCCGCCGCCGCCCGGGGGCCCGAGCCGGCCCCGCCACCTTCCTCCGCTCTTCTCCGCCCGGCCTCCCCCCGCCGCTGGCTCCCCGCGGCTCAGCGCTCCGGCCGCCGAACCCCAGCGCCACAGCCACCGACGGCTCAGCGCCCGGCCAGCGCCGCCATGTTGCGCCCCAACCGAAGCCCCTCCGAGAGCGCCCGCTCCCGGCGTCCCCCGCGCTCGCTCATGTGATTGGCCGAAAGGGGCGGGGCCGGGGCGGGGCGCGCAAGGGCGGAAGCGGCCGAGAGGGGGAGGCGACGGTGGCCGGGCGGGGGTGGGAGCGTGTGTTTCCCTCCCTTCCCCCCCTCTCGCCACGGGCTGTTGGTGCGTTCCGAGGGGGTGGGGCGCGGGGAGCCGCCGCCAGCTGCCGCCAACGGCCTGTCGGGGCGCTGAGGGCAGGGGCCGGGCGCTCGGCCTCCCCCTGTCCGCTTTGCCAGGCGGTGAGTTTTCGGGAGGGGTTTAATGCAGAATTATTAACCGTCTCAGAAAAACAGTTCTGGAGTTTTTATTTAAAAAATAAGTAAAAATCAGAGTGGTTAAAAAGAGTCTTCAGGGGTTGCTCTGGCGGACCTGTCGCTGCTCAGTTGTATGAATGAAATTAAAATTATGCAAAATGGCTTCATTTTTGAGATTTGCCTATTTAAGCGCAATATTATACACAGTCCTGCTTTTGCGTGTGCAGCCTAAGTAAGGAAGCAACATGGAAGACAACAGTAATGATCAGTGACAATTAAGAATGAGTAGTTTTGAAAATGTTATTTACAAATACAAGTACTATAGTAGGGTTGGGTTTTAACATGCTGTCAGGGGAAGCCCTTAGAGAAGGCTTCTACACATCACAAAAATGGGACAGGTTTTCAGACAGTGACAGCAGAACTTCAGTGACAAGGCTAAGGGTGGGCAGACTTCATAGCTCAGTGATCAGCCGTGGCACTCTGTGTAGTTATTTCAGAGATCTAACACCAAGTTTTCCAGCAGTCTCTGTCTTCGGAAATCAAGGCTTAATGAGACTAATAGAGCACGATTTCAACAGTAAGGTTTGGAAATCCTTAGCCAGTTTCTGAGTATTTGACAGGCCTGTCAGAAGCAGGAAGTTATTACGAGTTAGTGAAACATGCAGGTAAGTACAGGAGAGAGCTTATTTAGAAGGAAGACTTAAAACATGAGATCACTCCTTCCTAAATGCAAATGTCAGAGGCAGTGATGTTATTGTCACTTAGATTGAATGGGAGATCACACATTATTTTTCAGATGCATGATTTACAAAGGTATAAGAAGCCAAGCCTCATTATTTCTGCCGCTGCCAGAAGTACTCTTTATGTGCAACTAATCTCCATGGTAAATCTTCATATATAAGAACCTTTTTTTTTTAAAAAAAAAAGCAAAAGGAAAATGAGGTTATTTTTATAGTTGATATTACGGAATTAATGCATCCAAATTAAAAAAACAAAGAAAACTCGGAAAAATGCATCTAATTGTCTTCGCTAACAAGTTCAGTAATTTGGAAATTGTTCATCTACATCACTTGGGCCAGCAGCTTCCTCTGTGAATACAAAATTAGTTATTTATTTGATGTAGGCAGTAAGAAAAAAAGTTAACAGGCTATACAACTCTATTTTTCAGGATTGAGTCCTGAGAATGTTATCCAAAAGCTACTGAATATTGCAGAAAAAAAATATTTTGGCTTTGATAGATTTTTATAACAAGGTGAAGACAAACATTCTGAAAATGTCTATGCTTAGCCACATTTGGAAATTCCCCAAAGCTACTCCAAAATAATGTTTTCACAGATACTTTAAAGTATGACCTCCACATGGGTGATTTGGAAGAACAGTTCTTCTCCCCCATTCCTCTTAATCCGTTGCTTCAGAACAGTACACGAATGGCACCTGGTAGATTGAAGTGGATCAGAAGAAGTCCCAATCCTGGTCACACATGACTTGACATTGAAAATTATTTCAAATTTCTGACTCCCTTTATGTCTTTCTGGCAGAGATTCAATTTTCTATTCAAATTTCTGGCTGAAATTCAAATTTCATGTGGCTACTAACAACCTTCAGTAGCCATTAGAAAGCGAGAAATCATTCATTTTTATTGTAAATGCGTTGGGGTTTTTAAAATTAGAGTCGCTCTGCATTCTAAACCTACATTTGTGTGCTCAAAATTTATTCTCTGAGTATGAAAACATGTTATACCAATCTTCTTTTTACCCGGTATTAGGAATTTGGTCTTTAGAATTTCTCTCGTGATGGTCTCTCCCAGTATGACACTGTCCAAAGGACCCATTCTGTCACGCTGGTTTCCTGTAGCTCTGCCCTGGTGGGCTGTGCTGTCCCAAGACAAGGTGGTGCTGTCCCACGACTCTTTGATGCAGCTTCTGAAGTGCCTGCCTTACTAAGGAGGGACAAACAACCCCATCTTCAATGAATACAGTAGCTCGGGGTGTTGTATTCCACATCTGTTGCTAAAAACAGTGTACTCTAAGAAGATTCAAATAATATCTTTATTTATGAGGCAGAAGGCACATTAGAAGGAATAGAATATCGCTAATTACTTGTATCATTCCCAAGCTTGGCAATGTGTGCACAAAATTTTGCTTTCAAAGTCAGTCAGTGTACAAATAGGACAGATAGTGGGCAGAAGTACAAAGGGATCATACAAAGTCATGAATACGTGCTTTAACCATCTGAATTATTTAACTGAAAATGCTGCTTTTTACAGAGGAAGAGATGGATCAGAGGAAAACAGCAGGTGAACAAAAGTGAGACTGTGTAGTATGGGGGTGGAACAGGGGAGGCCTAGCCAGACGGAGTAGAAAAAGAGAACAAATAGTAAGAAAGTGTCTTAAATAGACCAGAACGAAAACATCACTGAGACTGTGAGACTGTCCACTGTTTCATTTGTGAAAAAACAGAACATGACTGTAAAATTTAGACTTGAAAGTGCTTGGCCTCCTACCCCTCTGCTGCTTCTTTGCTGCTGCCAGGAGTGCTTTTTCACTCCCTTGGGCTAGAAACTTCCCGAATTTACTAATTCTGTGATTCCTTTATGCAGATCACCAAGCCAGAGAGCGCGAGCTTTCTGCTGAACTGAGCTGCTGCTGAGGAAGTTTATTTGAATGGGTTTTTTCACCTGTTGATAAAATATTATTGTGTAGGTTTAAGACAGGGCAAAAAGAATACAGAACTGCAAATTCTGCGATCTGAAGTTGAATCTGATGCTTTCTTTTGCAGTTATTCAAATATGGAACATGTCTGTTTCCATGGGAGTTAGTTACAGGTTAAAATTACATCTTTGAAAGTTTACATCATGGACTTACAGCTCCCTTCAAACTTCAAGGGCACATTTGAGTTTTTGCTCAGTTCAAGCTTCTGTGGAGTTACAGAAGTGATGTTTTGCACAGCAATTCACTCCGGCGTAACTTGAAGTGAGATTTTAAGATTTAGCTAAAATCAGGCAAGGAGTTCCATATTGGTGTGGGGGGGAGTTGGTTGTTTGAGGGGTTTTTTAATAAACCACGCTGATAGACAAACAAGTCCTTGCAAGTGAGGCAGCAGTGTAGATTTGCAGCCAGTTAGCTGTCGTGCGGTAACTCCTCAGGGTTAATCTGGGTCCCTGATTTCTCAATTTTTGCATTTGTTTGTGGCCCTCATAAGCCTCCTGGACAATAAGGGTCCTCTGTGTTGGCTGTTCTGCACCAGCGTCACTGGTATGGAAGATGAATTGCTACCAGAGCGAGGCTGAAGTGTCTGAGGCTGTGGTCCCTGCAGTCTGCCATATGAATTAAAACCAGTTAATTAAAACCAGTTCCTTAGATTCCATTCTGATTTCACTGAGCTTAGCTGTCAGAGTGATGTTAAATTTAAGCAATCTAAAGAAAAAGAAAAGAAAAATCACTAGGACAATAATTAGAGAACTTAAATGTGGAGACAGCTGGGGATGTTGAAATGCATTGTCAAGTGGATTTGTGATTTTAGAACTTTTCATGATGTAATCATGAACATACTACATTTGTTCACCTGAGATGAATTCGCATGAAAAGCCTCTAAATCAAACAAAAGCTTTACCTTGTATTTTTTGTTACTCATGTCCACAGAGAATCCACAAATTTTCACATTAACAGTACAAGCTGTGTTGTTAAAAGATCACAGGTACTGAATTTACTAGTTTTTGCTATTCAGTTGCATTTTAATATATTGAGTTAAACAGCAATGTGCTTAATGCAGAGGAACTTGCAAAGACATCCTAATACTAAATTTTTCTCATCTTCTTTCTTAAAAGGGAATTGTGGCACATTATTGTTGTATTCAACTGGATTTTCTCTTCTGCTTTTCAACATATTTAAGTAATTACTCTTGGAGACAGAAGGAGAAGATGAAAATGAGACAAACAGTAGATTCTCACTTAGCAACCAATATTTTCCTGGCTCACAAAGAGTATTTTTCTCAGGTTTTTAGTTACATAAATAAAGTGCTACGTAGTACAAAGTCATACAATAATAATAAAATGCCTTGGGATGATAATATCAGAGTTTTCCATTGTTCACCAGATATTACTCCAGGGGATAAAATCAATTTGAGATTTCCTGTCCTTTGTATGATTAGAATCGCCTCTCTGTCTTTCCACAAACAGATTTCTTTTGCCACATTTAAGAGACCAAACAAAGCAAAACGCCTAAATAAACTTTGTCATTTAAAGAAATTCAGTCTCTGAATCAACAGTGCAGATTTTCACTGCAAAAGGCATTTCAATGCATTAGAAACAACAAAGTAGCCTTAGAAAGACTGTCTCAAGCTTGCTAGAATTTAACAGTTGCAATAGTCAAGAAGATGCAATTCATCTATCACACCACAGACTGAAATAAATTTTTTAACTGCCTTTTATTGTATGCAGAAAGGTGTGAGAAGTAATATCTCCAAACTAATATTTTGTTATTTCGGTTGTAATGAATATAATTTGCAGTATGCCTAGAAAGTACCCTGTTTAGACTGTCTCTGTAAAATATCATAGTTGGCAAAAAAATTGAAGAGCAGGAGAAAAGCAAAAAGAGAAATGCTGCTTGAGATATTTTTTTACTAATGGCATGATCTTGGAAAAGGTTTCTTCAAGTTGCATGTTCCTTTCATTCGGTGTGTCTGGAGAGTTTAGGGAAAGATGAAGCAGTCCAAATAGTATGTAAATCTATGAGTTTTATTCAACTTCTCAATTGTTGCATTATTTGAATCATAAAGGAATTCATTCTGATCCAAAGTATACCAGCAGTCACTGAATTTAGTGAGCAAGACATGATTGTTCCTCTAGTATTTGTAGGGATATAGTCCTCAGCTTGGGAGGAAATGGGGGGCAGAGGGGAAGCAGAGTCAGAGCACTCTGCTCCAGCAGACAGCACAATGCCAACATGAGAGAGAACCATCCTCCATGCTAGGAACTAGAATCAGAT